CTAAACCTTGAGACGTATCCCTCTGTCTTTCGGCGCAGGCAAAGATTTCTTCCTTTGCGTAGGCTCACAACGAAGATCCAGGTCTGAGGGTGAAGTGGGATGTTCCGAAGGATGTCTATTTTACTCCTTTTGCGAAGGCTCTTTGGGATGATCTTCCGTTACATCTAAGTCTGTTCAAGTGCGTGATCCTTCACGCCGGTTTCTCCTTGTAGGCTTCTTCCTTCACGCAGGCTTCCACTCTGCGTGCGTGAAGACCTGCGTGTAGACGTGCGTGGAGACCTTCATGGAGATCCATGCGTTCGCGAATGCTTTCGTGGAGATCTGCGTGGATATGTAGATGTTCGCGAATGCCTTTATGAGCACCTGCGCGCAGGTAAACAGCTCTGACGAGGGTTAGAATCTTGAGATGAATCTCTGTGCCTTCGTGAAGGTGTAGATTCTCTTATCCTCTTATTCTCTGATAAAGATCTCCTGCGTGCAGGTTCCTGACGACTGTCAGCATCTGAGATGGAGAAAGATCTGCGTAGGTTCGGCGAGCGTCTTCTCCTTAAAGGTTCGGCGAACGTCTTCTCGTTTGAAGGTTCGGCGAACGTATTCTTGTTCTTGAAGGTTCGCGAACGCGTCGTCTTGAAGATTCGTGTCTTCTTCTTCTTGAAGGTTCTTGAAGGTTCTGCCAAGGCATCTGATGTAGGCTCCACGTTGGTAGGGCTGCCAGATCTTCGCGCAGGCGTCGTAGACATGCTGGAACCTTCGCGCAAGGTTGTACATTTGCGCAGGTTGTTGACTTCAATGGGACGTGATGTGCAGACAGGATGTCCTTCGTGCAGGTTCGTCGTTGATGGAGTCTTCATCGCAGCCCTCTCCTTCGCGAACCATTGTTCCATCAGGTCCAACATCTGCTGGGTGAACTGCTGCATAAAGGTGCCCGGGTTGAAGTTCTGCGTTGACTGCTGCTGCAGAAACGACGCATCTGAGAGACGCTGCACCTCTCTGGAACCCGATGTCTGCGTCGATAGGTCGTCTGGCGTAGAGATGACTGCTGACGTCACGGTAGAAGATGCCCTCGTCTTCTTCTCAGCCATGACCTCAGGGATGAGGATGGGAGGCTCATCGTAGACATCTACTTCCTCAGGAGGGACGATCTCAGCTGAGAAGGACCTCGTCTTCTGCGTTGCCCCATGTAGAGACTTTGACGAAGTCTTAGCTGCAACTGTCTTCTTCCGCTTGGAAGATGATGACCTAGTCTTATTAGACTGCGATGAGGAGTTATCAGATGTAGATGACCTCTTCCTCGACTGACTGACTGACTGAGTTTGGTTTTACGCCGCTTTTAGCAATATTCCAGCAACATCACGGCGGGGGACACCAGAAATGGGCTTCATACATTGTGCCCATGTGGGGATTTGAACGCGGGTCTTCGGCGTGACGAGCCAATGCTTTAACCATTAGGCTACCCCACCGCCCCCCTCTTCCTCGAGCCAGCGTTGTTGTCTACGACAGCAACATCCTCCGCAGACGACCCCGGTAGTACACTGGAACGGTGGATCTGCGCAGACACCAACTGACAGTCCTCCGCAGGCTCAGCCGGTTTAGACAAATGTCTTACAAATGTCGTCTGTCTAAACAAATAATGAAAATAATTGTTAATTTCAAAATCGGACAGGTGTAAACACACTGACAGCGAAAGCTTGAAGAGCACACAGGCCGTGCAATTAGGCCATAGTACGTGTGGATCAGCATCAGACAATCTGTACCTGCAATGAATGCAAGATTTCATCAATTGTAAACAATCTGAACAATCACGTAAAAACGTGAATAAACAGACAAAATTGACAAATTATTTCAAACCATATTGTTGGTAAATGCTTCCTAAAGCCTTATACAACTAATTTAGTAATACAGCCTAAATTAGAAAAGGATATAATGCCGTATAGGGGACCCAGGCGCTCTCACAACCGCCCACTCGGGCGAAGAAGGAGAGAGTGAGGAGCATGGGTGACAGGTGGCGCTGTTTGCCGCCAAAACCCTAGGAAGGGAGATAACACCTGGTGAGTGATTTTATGTCCGCTTTTTTAAGGGAGCTTCAAAAGGGGGATTCAAGTGTTCCACTAGCATTCGGAAGAAAAGGGAGACAAGCAATAAGCATGAGTCAGGATAAGAAAAATATAATATTTAAGTGTCTGGGACCCCCATTTTGTTGTCCAGGACCCTGAAAATTAAGAGTATGAGTCCCAGGGACCCTTAAATACAGGACTCCATGTAAATCCCTGGTCACCTAACGTTTGTCATGTCATCATTCAATTGTAAATGAAGATACTTCATTACAGCCCTGCATTCAGTTCTTTCCATTTTGAGAGCATATGATAGGGTCATGCTGTTTGACAGCTATCTATAGCAAATTATAGCATGTGGAAATCATGTTTTGCATGTCAAGCACATGCTAAGATACTGTTCTAGAAACATGGCGATTTTGTTGAGTTTGTGCGATCCGTTCATGGCGAGGCCAGAAACTTTAGGGACACCCCTCATACCTTCTGAGACCCCTCTTTGTACTGCTGTCCCTAGCCAAACCTTTCATGGCTGACGCAATGGTCATTTTTGGTTTGACCGGTCAATGGGTAATTGCCACAGTTGTCAAATTCTCAAACCAATGGCTGCCACCCTTTGCTATTTTACCTCCAGTTGTATCAATAGGTACAGCATGGCAAAACTTTGCCTGGAGCATCCAGCCAGAAACCTCTCCTATTATTGACTGAACCATTTGTTTGACATCATTTGGTTTTCGTAGCAACCATATGCTAAAACCTATGCTCACTTGTGTATGAGGAAATGTTTTTTTATGAAAACATGGTATTTCACAGTGCTCCATTTCATAACGGAACATATAAAACGGAACAAACATTTCAGGCCCTAATACTTAACACATTCGTTCCATTTTGAAAAACTATTGGGAAATTATTACATATTATCTTTACCTTGTAAATGAATGAGCAATTTCATCACCAAGGCTCTGGTCTTCCACCATGTATTCCTGGGCCCAATTTCACAAAGCTCTCATGAGCCTAAGATCTCGTAACTTTCCTCGTAGCATTCGTACCTCCTATGTGACAGCATAGAAGGTACGAATGCTACAAGAAAAGTTATGAGATCTTAGGCTTACAAGAGCTTGGTGAAACGGGCCTCTAATCTGCAACTCCTTGAAGGTAGTTAAGGCAAAAGCTTTTCTTCCGGTACCTCTACATTTCTGGTTTTATGAGCCAGGGACAAATGGTTTAAGACCCAACATTGGAAGCAAATACCACATACTCCGAGTGATACTGCCACCATGAATATTTCTTGCCAACATGTATTAATAATCAGCCTTGGTCAAAGAATTAAAACAAAACGGAAGTTGATACAGTCTAAGTAAACTTAGGCTCAGTATTATTCGTTACACTGCTATACTGAGTCTAACAAAACCTTGTGGAAGGTCGCGTCAGGTAACCTTTGAGCGACCTATGACCGTCTAATCAAACACGAGACGGCCGAACGGATTTAACCAATCAGACAACCGCTACTATTTAGGGTTTGGCGGGACTTACAAAATGGATTTACTTCTCTTCCCTGGTCGCCAACACTGATCTCATAACAAATGAAAACCTGCATAGAACACAGATATATGACCTGCAGAATAGACACTTTTGGGTTTCTGTTGACATGGCTATCATTAGCTAATATTTCAGAAAGCTGACATCCTTGAATACTGACAAAACGCTATTTTCAGCAACTGTTTACTCTCTCTTGTGGCGTGATGCATGTGCATCACCCGGAAGCGATCATACGGAATTCGGAATTGTTTGGGTACAAAACTTTATCAAAGTAAAAGTTCAAAAGGTATGTGCGAATTTTAACTTTGGCGATTTGGTAAGCTGTGTTCTGATTGGTCCATTGAAAAGATCAGCTGACGCGACCTTCCACGAGGTTTTGTTAGACTCAGTATAGCAGTGTAACGAATAACACTGAGCCTAAGTTTACTTAAGACTGGAAGTTGATAGAAAACAGCGGTTTCATTGGGTCACAGTTAATCTGTGCCGAGTCGGGCGTCTCGTAAAACAACGTGCAGCTTTTTACTTTATTGCAGTGGGCAACAGATATAATGTCCCTTCCGGAAATCCATGTACAGCTTGTATTCATTATGGCGAGATATAAGGGCTATATCTTCTCACTGTTAAATATGAAAACTTGAGTAGCTTTAACAACAAAACAAGTCTTGTTCTCAGCGGCACACTTGGCGGCCTCGGTCAGATATGGGTGTCTCGGGATGATATCGGGCAAGATATGAAAAATGAATTGTAATAATCTTTTTATCAATTCATACCTGCCTAAATCAAGATTTTAGTTTGGGTTTCATCTCAATCTCCCTATCTTCGCCTTCCAACTGTAGCCAGGTGTGAAGAATGTTTACGTCATATTCAGTTTTCCTTTTCGTGTTATCATTCTTCATACTTTCAGCATACTGCTTCATTTCCATATTTCCATCCTCCTCCCTCTCCACTAAATCTTCCAGTTGAAGCAATCGCTGTGATAAAGATGCTAGCGTCCTTTCCCCGGCCATGATCAAAGAATGATCCAACATGACGTCATCTCTATGACGTCATTCTTGATGTGATGTCATTCAATTCATTAACGTTCCGTGACGTCATGTACAAAATTTATGGTGAAGATATCGATATCTTCCCACCTCTCAGCGGGCAAGATATCAATTTCTTGCCCGGGCCAGATATGACCATGCCGATCCTACCCATATTGGGGTGGCAAAAAAGGTCCATATCAGGGAAAATATCTCTGTATTAAGTGATAAAAGGGATATATATGAAAACTTGAGTACCTTTAACAACAAACTAGTCTTGTTTTTGGCTGCACACCACAACATCTGTGAAATAACGTGTCCTAAAGAAGTACAACTCCGCTGAATTTAACACAAGTGGTATAATTCAGAAATAGAAACAAGACTCAAGAAATTACAAAGTTGTTTTCCTTTATTGGTATATATAGGTACATCTACGTTACTTTACTGCATACAGAGATTTGGTGAAAAAGTGCTAAAAATGGTTAACAATATTAGCTGATAAACACTTCCTAGCTGCCCATTAGTAATACCATGTGTGGCTGCTGATTTGTTGCACAGGGTTTTCATACATAATTCTCTTTACATTTATAAAATGGCTGTGATCAAATGTCCAAGACTGATGTGCACTGTCAACAGTAGGCAGTATGTAGGGAGAAGTAACAAGCTATAACCTGAACTACTAGTAATTGCATATCCTTTGTATGCATTGTCTGAATACTACTGAACACAGTTTACACAACACATGAATTAAAAATCTATTAAAACCAATGAAATTGAAATCAGAATGTTTGGCACAGTATTCATTGAAAATAAAGATGATTTGGATGAGAAATGAAACTGAACATTAAAACCAGTGACAACATTATGACCAAAAGTATTACATTTAACAGTAAGAGCATACAGGATAATTTTATACAATGATGTAAAACATGTCAATGTAAAGTTAAAAGTTTCAAAAATTGCTAAATGTATTTCATGAGAGCACTCTTATATAAAAGAACACATAATCGGTAGGAAGGTTCACTTATAGTGATTGAATGAAATGAAAGATGATTGAACATGACAAACTGAGCAAGACCATTGTCACCAGGCAGCACACAACCTGCAGGGTATGAACTGTATAGCTGCAGTGATGTCGGCACAGATGAAGAGGATCACTCTGGGAATATCTTCTACAATGTACCTACTACCTACATAAAGTACAGTTGGTGAACATCTAAGATATAATTCAGTGGAAATGATCATATTGTCTGCATACATATTCAGTGATTTTCAGGAACATTTCATCTCCAAACCTTGTAACTGTACAACAATTACCCTCCTCAGAAAATGTTTCCTTTAGTCAACAGTTTTAGTTATCATGATTATCATCTGCAACGTTCTGCTCATCTTTGCTTCAGTATTTCAAGATTGGTTCGTCCTGATTCTGTATCAATGATTTACCATTTGTTTGTTGCTGCCTATTTTAAAGAAATACATAGATAGCACTTCTGATTTTGAACACATTGTAAAGCAAAAATCACACAAATCTAAACCTGATAATCCAGACACTACATAAATACAGCAATACTGTGATAAGTCTGTAATGTAAGAACTAAGACTAGATCAAGTAAGAATGCAAGAGTTTTTAGAAGCCTATTTGCAGTACACAGGCCAACAATGAACATCCATTTCATACCTCCTATACAAAGAGTCATCACTGTACAAATTCAATATCCAACACTGCATCCAAACCGATGCTAGAAAGGGAAAAAAAAAAATATCTGTTTTTTTTTCATATCAATATTTCACAGAAACTTTCAGTCAGAGACATGAATGGAAGCTTGTTTTGACATGTTAGGGGAGGTAACTCTTTGGTCAGTGCAGGATTAAAACAATGGGAATGTTAAGAATGGAAAAATATAGAATATCTTATAAAATCTCACATGAGCTTACACTTAACTGGTACAATATGTAAAGAAGAGCAGTTTTTTTTCCTACATGATAAGCAACCTGTTCAAAAGCTACTTTAAAAAAAATATTAGAATGTTAAAACCTGACACTACTTAAAAGAATCAGAGGATATTAGATTTGAGACTGCAGTATCAGAGCAATCACTGTCAATATGAACTTCATGACTTCATTAAAAAGTGAAAATGTACAATTTGACAATTCCATTCGTGATTTCCTGTGTTGTGTTATTGAATGTGGAGATGCTACACCCTTGCCTGCTGTAGACACTATCAATGCTTTAAGGTACACACATCTACGAGTGTCTGCACTAGAGGCCTCCGTGGCTTGAGAGTGCTCCTTCTTGGGTCTAGTTGGTGGTAACCTTCTTCCAACTGTTGCGGGTGAAGTTTGCTGCTGTCTCCAAAGCCCTTGCCGTTGATGCTGTCACACACTGCCACACAGCAACAACAGCTCCAACTACAGATGTGTACAGACCAACCAGAAACTTCCACATTGCAGAAGGGCTGCAATAGCAATTTGTGCTTATATGTGAAACAATCCTCAACCATTTACTACACTTACCATGGTAGCTAATTATGACTAGACACCCATGTTTTCCCAAAATGCTTAAAAAAAGGCCTCCATTCTGAAGAAGGTATATACCAAGTGAAAGATAAATGCACTAATACCTCTCCAGAAAAGTGTGACCTTGAACCTAAACCATTTTATGATGTACCAGATGCAGCACCCAGGTGTAGAACTATAACTTGAACTCCAAACCAAGAAATTTAGTTAAGCTATATCCGTGTTAGATATTCACATTTGACCGCCATCTTGTTGTAGAGATGTAGAGACCAATATGCTGAGCACAAATCTTTTTATTCTTGGTATATTGACATAACATTAAAATTCTGAGATCATTCACAGACATTAGGATGTTTAACAATCTAACAATATGTTGATCAACAAGGTTGATGTATACCGCTAAGTGAGAATAACAAAACAAAATCCCCCAAACAGCAAATTCACCATAACTATAACCCTGTCCAGACTAGTGTAATATTTTCAGAATCATTATATTATCAACCATTTGTGATTTCATGTTTACAGATGCTGCTTTCACTGCATTATGTGCCCTGCTCCAACAAGGGCAGTGTCACCAATCTGTCCTCGTGACACACATATGTAGCCAGTATATTCATAGTACTTACTACACAGGAGCAGCCCTAATGGATGTACAATGTACTTGTTTCATCCATCAATCAAAACCACTGTCCATATGATCAATGATTCACTCAAGTAATTACCTAAATATACAGTACACTACACCATTTCATTACTTCAGAGGAAGCCCATGGTGACTGCAAGTAACATCACAAATGATTATTTATGGACAACCCTCACCCCCCTCCATTCTGAGGGTAAAACCCTGATAATATGTGAGTGGACATACCTGCAGTAGTTCTCCACAACATAGCTGAGAACGATGATGGAGACACAGACAAACAGAATGAGGACTGCTGTGTCAGCTGTCTGCCATAGTGTGTACAGGCTGGTGCCAGTACCTTCCTGTGGCTTGGCAGCTACAAGCTTCCCGTCAACTTTGTCCTCCACTGTCTTCACCTCTGTCCGTGATTGTACAACCCGTGTCGTCTTCACCTCAGTTGGCTTTGACTCATCTCGTATTTGCTTAATTAGAAACAACAATTTCTATCAGTCACATAAGACTGTTAAGTGGGTGTTAACCAGTTAAACCTTCAGGGTAATGGCTTGGCTCTGATTCCACACTAAGGTAGCATTGGGGCAATTTGTTTCAAGGTCATATTACTATCGCTCCAAACTCCAATTAGCCACCTCAAAATTCAGATGAGGCATTTCTATGTTTACTTCTACACATATAAGCTTCAGTTTTCAAAACAGCCACACTGATAACCTGATACCATTCCCATTTGGACCGATGTTTCTTTTCTTTCTTTTGCAGAAATATAACACTTAATTTCACTACTTTGTCATGTGCAACAGTTTTAAAGATTGTACAATGTGCTTATATGCATAGTTAACCACATAACATAATATAAATGATACTGCTTACGTGCGAACCAAATAAACTTATTCATTCAACAGTACCACATCGCCTACTTTCAATACTGATCAGAATGAAGCTATATGTCGGCTTATGATATTGAACTAATTCTGATGACAGTACTCCCATGAGATTTGTGCCAGAAGCTACATCTCAAAAGTGAAAGTAAAAGTAAACAAGGCTTTGGAGTAAGATCAAGAACAGTTTCCATAATACAATTCCAGGACCACTTTTTGTTGAGAAATAAGTTCAAGTTCTCCTTATGTTTGCGCGAACACAAAAGGACTTGCAAGAAACAACTGCATTCAGCTGGGAACTCACCTTTACAACTTCTGTTGTTCTTTCAACTCTACCTGGAGTTCGGTTTGTGGAAGATTTTGTGACAACTTCTGTTCTTCTTGACTGGCGTGGTGGAGTTTCTGGCTGTTTTGCTTGTCTACCTCTTGATGATGACCGTGATCGGGATCTAGGAGTTCGACTGCGGGCTCTTGGGGTTCGTGAGCGACTGCTCTTTGTCTTTGTTGTTCTACTTCGGCTGGTGGATCGTGACCTTGACCGTGATCTGGACTTTGTAGACTTCTTCTGAGTTTTAGATGGTGCCTGGGAAAGGATGTAAGATTGACTATGATAAAGTGAATAGGATTATAACAGGAATTACTTAACTGCAAAAACCGACATATATTTGACAAAAGGGTTATCCAACAGATACATGTATGTTAAGACCAACAAATGAAACCAAGGTCTTAAACAAGACCTATTTCTGAAAATAGCTCCACAGAATGTATTTCTATGACACACAAATCCTCCTACCGTAAGCTTCACATATGCAGCCATGGCAGCGGCACAGTTGGCGAGGTTCTTGAGAGGTTCCCAGCTGTCCTCCTCCTTCCCAAACCCTCGCCATCTCACCAAGTACTCTACAACACCCTTCCTCTTCCTCTGATTCAAGATCTGATCCACCTGCAAAATCAACTTCCTGTCTTTTTACACTGAAATTGTTCATGTTGATGGAGTGGACCAAACAATACATCATCATATTGATGTTCAAAGTAAGTAGGGATTGTCATGATACAACTATCTCTTGATATGATAAGCATCATGATCCTTATTTCGCAGCCACTGTCACAAATTAGTCAAATTCAAAGTCTTTTAACGACTTTTCCTATACTGGATCTGTATTTTCCGGCTAGGGGTTCAGATTTTGTTGTGCCCAAAGTAAGGCACTTTGATAGCTTTGAAAGCTTGTGCTCATACTCATGGAATTTTGAATCAGTTAACATCAATGCTTGAAAATATACGCTCATTTTTCTCACTTTGAAGTAGAATGCTCAATATAAGTGCTGAAATGTTTGCCAATATGAGGTCTTTGTTTTCAAAGCTAAACAGGCCAAAGTTACCCTCCCTTGATTATGATGTAATTGGTGCCAATAAATTTAGACTGGTCTCCTGTCTAGTCCCAAAGCAACACAGACTAATACTGAAATTATTAAAAAAAGTATCATGTAAAAATATGAAAGAAGCCTTATAACTGAAAATGTAAGCAGCAAGATAGATTGGTCATGTGTATTTTCATTCATAAATCTGACCTCAATGGAAATACAAAATATGTACAACAATGCTGAGGTACGTATGACATCGCTATCGGCAAGCGATTTTCACAAAATGGTGTGTTGGGTGACATGAGTAAGCAGGACATTAGGGAGACTTTTGTTGATTCAGACAATGTATATGCATAAATGCAGCATGTAAGAAATCGAAAATATTCTCCAAATCGGCATGTTGTTATTTTCTTTTTGTTTTCCTTGTGAGAAGTACTGTAAATGCTGAGCGTGAATTTGCTTGCTGAAACTATAATATATTGTGTTGAATGTACCAAACCATAGGAAAACACCTGATCTTATTTCTCTAATGTTTGCTAAGATACTCTTCCCATGCATGATCTAAAACTTATGAGCAAGTGTATGCAATGAGTAGGCATAAGGATCTCTCCCAATATGAGAAAATGATACACAGTGAAAAATCTGAAATTGGCTTTGTTTACATTTCAAACAAGTGCTCTTTTCCAAGTGCTGTGTTTTCACATCTAGCTTTTTGCTGGATTTTAACAAAACACATGGTATTGGTGGCAAATAACAATTGTCATTTAATTTTGACCAGTACACAAGGAAACTAATTTTGAATTATAGGTAATGTTGTAGGCCAACATACATGTGACATGATTTTATAACACTTTGCAACATGGCTAAAAGTTCCCATCAGCGTTCTGTTTGTGTATTTTCCACAACATTCTCAGCAATTCTATGGTCCTCATCGAAGTTTCAGAATGATCATTAGTGATTTGATCAAACAACAAAAATATCTGTGATCACAATAACACAGTTGGTTTTAAAAAATCAATCCCTCCAGTAAAAATTCAAGATTTAGATTAAAACATACACAAACAGGGCTACAGATAAGGGGCATACAGGCATAATGTACGCCTCAAAATCAATTAAGTACGACATAATATAAGATTTCAAGAGTATCGTGTACGGCAAAAAATACCTTTGTACGTATAACATTTAATTTCCCTGCGTATCGTGCAAATGGAAATCTATTTCGGATAAATACTTGTCAAGTTTCTTTTGCGAAACACGATTTGACACATGAGGAAACGCTGACAGTATGAATCACTTGCATTGCCATGCAACGATATGCGTCACTATTTTTCGATTGGCTAAAAACTACACTGTTCCTATTTATATCCAGTCGGACCTGACATTTCGTCGCATCACAACGTCGCTCAGTTATTTCTCACGCGTCTTCAAATACAAATACATGGTTGGAAATAGTGATCGGTGAATCGTCGAGACAAACCACATCACAAACCACATCACCAAAAACATGTCAGTACTCCTTCAAAATTCTCAGTACACCTCCACTTGCAATATGATGTGTAAGTACACTCGCACCCCCAAAAGTTATATGGAGCCCTGCACTAAACTAAATTACTCCAAACTATGCTAATGATGGTTTAGTAATACGTCAAAAATGACAATATATTACAATGCACATATATTTCAATAGGCAATTTTGCCTCCCAACCAGTGGACAATATCACAGAAAAGGGAATTTTTCACAGAATTCAAAACTTCAAAGTGCATTTATCTTCACGATGTATTTGGATATTGTTTTGTCATTAAAACAAGGGTTGAAGAAGAGGGACATATATATTTTACAATTTAGGAAGAAAAGTAGCAAACCTAGAATGCAGGCACATTCACCGATGGTGAACATTCACAGATCTAGAGCACTGATGTTGGGATTTAAAATTGCCTGTACTTTCTGTAAACCAACTACTGAATCATCCACTAATGCAACATCATCAGCGATTAACAGTAGCAAAATTTCTTCTATTTCTTCTGTAACAAAAATCCCTCTTAGGAATCCATTTAAATATTAGCCATGATGGATCTGATAGAAGAACTCAAATTCTGCATTGTCCAAATGTTATGGTTATGTAACTCCACTAAAGTATTACGCACCTGTTTTACTTACATAATACATTGGTTGGTAAGAGTTCCGCCCGTACCCCCCCTCTCAAAAACCAAGATTATGAACTGTCACCCATAAAACACACTAAATATAAGGGCAATAAAGTGTGCAGGGTCTAAAAAACAATACACGAGGTTCAACAACTGCCGGTTGTGTATTCAGCCTCGGGAATCGAACGCGAGTCAGTTTACTTAGCTGTCTGCTACCATCATCGCCATATGCAAGCTATATTCCTTACGATATTGATATATTGTTACATGTCTAAAAGGGAAGTAACCAAATGCAAGATCTTATCTTCGTGTGAAACATTGCTTGTTTTGTAAAGAATAAATCATAGGTAACATGAACAATACATTACCTGGTAAAACTTCTGATTGTTACAAACACTTGATTAATAAAATCTGATGTTATTTTATTAATTAAAAACAACATAGGGAGTACTGCACTTTACCGGGAACACTTTTTCAGATTAATTAGCGCTGCTTGGGTTCCCTAACCCTAAGGATCGTAAAGGGTGCCTAACCCTAAACCCTAAGGATCGTAAAGGGAGCAGCATAACATATCTAAAAGCAACATGAAAGTGAATTAGCTGTGAACTATAACGATCAGAATTCTTTCCCTTTCACGTAATCCTAAAAAGTAATTTTAGCGAGAAAAATGCAATTCCGTATCCCATGAAGCGTTTACTTGACCTTTACGTAGAGCCTAACCTCTGACATGTATGTTTGATCACCACCACACTCTTAGCGCAGGTGGCTAGTAGTTAATGAAATGGATACCACATGATCGCGAGAAGCCCCTTGTTTATGCGCTTGGCCTGTATAAACACTAGGGGAACACGGTAGCGGCATCTTCGATAAGTAAAGCGTTATCGGTATCGACTTTCAGCTGATCTTTGATTTGATCGGATTAATACCACTGAATACCCACAAAGCTACAAAGTTTAAATTCGTCATCTGATTAACAGGTACTATCTGTGTTTCACAAGACGCTTCTTTTGTTGACTTTGTGAAGACACAATGCGGAAATCGAAACCACACACTACTTTGTCGTAAACATTGACATGACTACCATGTAATTGGATATGATATACCGAATTTCAAACAATATGATGTAGAAATAACACCAGGACCATATTTGAACACTGATTGAATACATCATTTGTCCAAGAAGTATTGAAAATAACGGTTTACCTCGTAAGAGCTTTCGCTATCTGAGCTCGCCATTTTTGAAAGTACCAGACTCCCATGATGCACCGCGCAAAATAGGTAATTCAATACATTGTCGCAACAGCCAATCAATGTGTTTCTGTTCCTCTTTGACAATAGTTGAACTCAACATAGATAATGTGATATTCAATAGTATATAATTATATCAATGGATTTCAAAATGACGTATTTTGATATGCCTTTGACTAGTCTGCGACATATTGAACAACGCACGGCAATTAATATTGTATTTGCCGATAGACTAGTTTCAAATACATTTCATCTTTGAGGCAGGCGTCGTGTTTCTTTCAGAGCAAACGTGTATGCGGGTATTTTCCTACTGGTGACATGGCTTTGTTCTTGGGTTATACTTTCGGTCATGCACGACAGTTTCGCGCTATAAGGAAATCTTGGCGTAAACAAATGCAACACCATGTTATGGTTGGATATATTCATATCCGTTTCATTTAAGACACACAGAGGTATAACCAAGCTGTCAAGTGAAGAAAGCTATTCGTTCCGTCGGGGAACGATGACACGTTATCGGTCATTCGTGCGTTTTTGGAAATGGTTATCAGCAGATTTGCGGACATAATTCTAATGACGCGTTATTGCATAGTGAAGTGTCCTCTCACTGCACAACGATTAGAGGCGTAACCTTAGATGATTTGGAGATTTAACGTGCGCTTTCCGACATAATGGGTATTTCGCACATGGTGTCCAAACTTTGATGGTTGTACCATTTTTAATTACCGATCACGTTTACAAATTTTATCCCGAAATTTAAATAAACCGAGGAAATAATAGCTAGATCAACAGAGGTCGAGTAAATGGCGGCGCAAAAGTTGTTAGGAAAATAGCAGGATTTATGTGTGACGTAAAACGTCCTTTACCACAAGTTTCGTAAATTGCTAGGGAAGGGGTGAAAGTCACCACCAAAATGATATCTATCCCTAAATCTGCGGTTCTCTCTGCAGTTTCGCAGGTAGTTCCTAACGCGATACGAGCATCTGTTCCAGGCGTTGTCCAAAAAGGCGAAAAATATGTTGTCCAGCAACCTAAAACAGTGCTCACACATTTCTCAATGTCAGACTTGCTCCCGAAAAATGCTTTACGGGCCACATCAGGACTTGCATGTAAGTATGATCTGAGAGCGAAATTACGGTTGATATATACTTAACACTGGCTGGATAATTCAAAGATAAGTGTACAATCAATTAACAGGAAAGTATTCTTAGATAATCAAACGTGTATCATTTAACGTTTCTTGACCTACAACCGTCACGCAGTTCGAAAGCCTTTCTTTATATAGTTAGCAGTACAGATATATATGATTTGCATATGAATTGAACTATGTATCTAATCCTGTTATGAATCCGAATTTCAGTAAGGTCTAAACACCTTCCATATTGGCAAGGAAGGTGCACGAACTCTTTCCTTAGCAACAGTTCCTGCAAAACGCCTACATTTTTAGTCACCTCGCTATAATAAGGCAAATAACAGGGTTTGGGGTGGGCTTGTCCCCTACATGATGTGAGACTAATGTTATCGTAAGTATATCTTTTTTTAGTGTCCAAAATACTGCTGTCACTGTTGAAATAAGGGGAGTACTGAACTTTACTGGGCACACTTTTTTAGATTAATTAGCGCTGCTGGGGCTCAAACACGCTTCGCCGGATTACTGACTTTATTAATTAGTGACGTAATTGGCGGACGCTCTACTTCGGGACCACGAGCACCATCACAGTTAATGAGTGCTCGTTTAACGGGTCATTTGCACAGAAGTGAGGTGGAAGCGCAAGAAATGAAATCAAACCACGCACGCAGCACAATGGTTTGATAGGATGTGATATGGATATGATAGGATTATACTGCCCTAAGGTAAAGTCAAACCCTAAATAAGAATCGGAAAGGGTCCTTAACCCTACCCCACTCCCAACCCTAACCCTAAGGATCAGAAAGGGTGCTAATCCTAAACCCTAAGGATCGTAAAGGTTCCCTAACCCTAACTCCTAACCCGAAGGATCGTAAAGGGTTGTTTGACTCTAAAGATGCAAGTGAAGGGGGACGGAGCAATTACCGTGATATAGTGAGACAGGGCTTGAAACAGTGCAGTAGCCCTATAGTGTGATTATTGCCCCGCAGTGAGCAGCGAGGGCTGCGCCCAGTAAAGTGCATTCTAGCCGAAATAAGCCCCTAATGACTGTTATTATGGACTGACTGGTATTTTGAGTACTATTTGTTGATGTCCGGGTTCGATCCCCGGCCCCATCATACCAAAAGACGTTAAAATATGGTACTTGTTGGTCCCTGCCTGACACTCGGCATTATTTGATAAAGCAGGACTGGTTTGCTCTGAGTCAGTATAATGGGTCTAAGTGGGGTATTCATGCTTAACTGCTGCATGGTATCTCGGTGAGCTAGCACTATAAAACCAGCTTAAGTCTGAGGTAGTACAAGCAGCCACACGTACACATGCAATGATTCATTTACGTTGTCCTATGAGCAAAATGTTCTCAAGTACGATGTTAAATCCCATTTCACCTCACCTCATACTTTAACAGTTGATAATCCATGACTGTATTTTCGATTTCAGCTTCAAATCAGGTGAGATTTGCTCACACAGACATCCCTGTCCCAGACTTCTCTTTCTATCGTCGTGATGGAGTTAAGGATAGTCAACAATCCTCACAGAACTCAGCTGTTGCTCGACGATCATTTACTTACATGATGGTTGGAGGTAATTAAATATTTGTCTTTTGGCAGACAGTAATGAGAATTTTCTTCAACAACAAGAAACAAGAAAATATTATGACCTGTAATTGTTGTGGTTACAGGTAGTAGTGATACCATGGTTACTTCTTAAGTCAATATACACAGTCTACTATAAATATGATGAACTCAAGGGACCACTAATATTAGTTCATAGTTGGTTATACCCATTTTGACTAAAGTATACAGCCAGTGGTCAGGACCAAAACAATGTTATAATTATATCCGTCAATTTGTTATAAACATGTTCCTTATAAACAGCTGACTGTAAATTAAAAATTTGACAGCCCATCAAGGGTTGTTTTTCTGAATTGTAACAGGCTTAGCAGAGTTGGGTGTACTTGAGATCTGATGATTGGAAGTAGTGATTGTGCTTGATAATTATATGGTGTTGTCTGTTCTTGTCTAAAGCTTGAGTGACATAAACAGGGATTGGGATAGAGAACTTTGGCAATGGGCTATTTTCAGGATTATTAGCCATTTTCTGAATTTAGAATGGGCCACTGCCCTGGTATCAATAGTAAACTTCAAAATTTTAATGGGCCATTTTTTATTCTAATGTGCAAAATGGCCCCTGCCTTTCCCAATCCCTGCATAAAGTTTCCTAAAAGTGTACTGTTGTACTGATTATCACTGACTCTGAGGAGGGGGTCAAGAAGGGAGTCATGATATGCACAATGTAACCATAGGGAAGACACCTGGAATCCCTTTATTATCTGTAGTCAGTATTATAGCTTAGAGATCCGAGTTAGGTTTCCAGTATTCTTTAGCTTGTTAGAGGTCACTACTTGGATGAGATGGTTTCAACTGGTGACATTTGTTGATAGCATGTCACACAGACTTTTCTCATTAACCAGTGGTTTGTCAGACCTAGACTTCTCTTATTCACAGGTCAGTTTGATATACATGTAGCTGAAATAATGCTGACTGCTGTGTTCATGAATATTTACATACTCTAGTCAGTTATAGAGTTAATTTGTATGTGTCCCATGTAATGCATTTCTTTGCACCTAGTTATGAGTTGAAAGGACACAGGATTCTGTGTGTGTTACATACATCATTGTTCTCCACAACTTGTTGTGTAACTGTGTTGTTCTCCTCCAGGTGGCAGTGTGTCTGCTGCATATGCTGCTAAGAACTTAGTAACAGAGTTCGTCAGCACTCTCAGCGCATCAGCTGATGTATTGGCTTTGGCCCAGATCGAGATCAAGCTGGCTGAAATTCCAGAGGGAAAGAATGTCACCTTCAAGTGGAGAGGCAAGCCCCTGTTTGTTAGACACCGTACCGCTGAGGAGATAGAAGCTGAACAAGGCGTTGATCTCAGCACTTTGCGACACGCAGAACATGACAATGAAAGAGCAACCAATCCTGAGTGGCTTGTTTTACTTGGTGTTTGTACACATTTAGGTAAGAAAATGATTCATCCAGTTTCTTCAGGTTGCCACATTGTAAATGAATGTATATTCTCACAGATGTAATTACTGCATATGTTGCAAAGTTAAGATTTTGTTTAGACCAAGTGTCTTCATTATTTCTGCCCTTATCATGCTTATTATGAGCCCAGTTGAATCACAGCCCAAACTCTTGAATTGAACATGATCTGCACTAGTAAGTCAATGCATCATGACACTGGATGTGGCCATAGCAGTTTTATGAAACAATGATGATCTATTTATGAAAAGGTATTACCAGATTAAAGGTTAGGTACTTAAAACTCTTAAGAAAAGTATCAATACCAAGCATTAGAACAAAGATAAGAGTTGATGGCAAACGTTCGGTGTATGTTTGTAAAACTTCAGCCACAAACTATAGTTAACAGTGTTACACAGCAGCGCCACGTATGTGGACTTACACAAGTCAGTTCTGTCTCTGTTTGATCGTACCATGTAATCATGTTTACATTCCCCGTTGCAGGTTGCGTTCCAATAGCCAATGCTGGTGACTTTGGTGGCTACTACTGTCCTTGCCATGGCTCCCACTATGACGCCTCTGGTAGAATCAGAAAAGGACCAGCTCCATTGAACCTGGAGGTCCCAATTTATTCCTTCCCTGATGAGGGAACTCTAGTTGTTGGTTGATGTTAGTACCGCTTAGTGTGGACAAACCATGTAAACTGGCAGTGTGATCGTCTGGACATTCAGCAGTTGTACAGTTATTTCAATGGATGAAAGGAATACAGTTTTCAATCTGTTTCAAACTTCAGAAAAACAATCTTTCATCTAGGTCTGTGTTGCAGACAATTGCTCTGTGTAATAGTCTGTTTTATTAAAAATAATATTCCAGTTCATGTTTGTCCTTTTGTGGCTGTATTGTGGGTCTTTGTACTGTCCAACTGTACTGGTCTTGACATTCGAATAGATTTTCATTCGACATTTTCTGCCCATGGGATTCACCAGGGGTCCATTTCAGAAAGTGATCGTTGCTTTAAGACTGGTGAGTCTGTTATTGGAGCTGCATCAGTCACAGTGCTACTGCCACTTTGTGAATCATGACCAGCTAGGTTATCTTGTGTCAAAAATTCAGGTCTAAATTTGATGTCTGTTCTTATTTGAGCAAAGACAAATCTTCACTTGTTTTTTCAGACACAAAACAGCATACAGTTTACAAGTAAGACATGGTTTATTTCAGTGATAATGATGATGATGATGACAATGAATCAAAATGGCCAATACGTTAAGTCTCCTCTGTTGGGGTGAAACGGTACACTATATATTGCAGTACAAGGCCTTCGGTTCGGTACATGAGAACTTTCTTCCGGGGAAATAGCAGCCGTCAAGATTTTGACAAAAGATTAGATTTATAGATATTTTAGAAAAGGTCTAAAAAGGTTAACAAAATGATGGTAAGAAAACTGAAAATACTGAATTTTTAGACTGCATTACAGCATACCGAACCAAAGGTAAAATACTGTGGTTCTACTAATACTGTGGTATACCGTTTCACCCCTACCCCTCTTCAGCTCTTAAACATACAATGTTTTACTATCATAGTGGAGTCATGTCTCCACTGCAGTGGAAAAGAACAATCCATTCAGAGTTGACTGTTCAAAAGTGACTGAAATTGTTTTGGTTGGTTGAGATGAAAATGTGGAGAACCTTGTCACAGTTTGTTTGAACCAACATGAGAAGCATTAGGACCACTATTGTATTGTATATGATGAGGCAATGTTCTGTGGTAGTCTTGGTGGTCATAATGACTTCTACCTCCATGTCAGCATGTCCCTTCCACCCACTGCAGCTGCACAATGGGTTGACACATAAAGTCAATGAAGGTTCACTGAAATCCCTTCTGTATCAGGCCTACCAAAGAAAACTTTCCCACTGTGCAGAAAAACGCAGAAAAGCCCACATTAATCGAGGAAATAGCAACATAAACATAATACCTCGCTACTGAAACAGTAAAAGCGTCAACTTTAAATCGCTAACACTGCATCATAAAACGAGGAGTCCGCAACTTAGATTTTGCGCATGCGCACATGAAAGAGGAAGTCTCGACCGCATGTTGACATTTTCCAGCTTGGACAAAAGTTACATTCCTTTTTAAGTATTTCTGTTGTGTTATTTGGCATTTATCATCATGATACTTGTGTGCACACTTGTTTAGTTTACTTTCCATTCGTATGAAACGATTGACAGCAATTATTTCGACATATTTAATACTTTTTCTACGCGAGGCGATTCACGGTTGCTCGGAAATTGGAAAGAAGCCTGGTTCCTAATGCGCATGCGCAGTAAAGGTCAAAGTTCGCTGATATAAAAATGTTGCAGTTTCATAGTTTTTCATTGCCGTTTTCACTGTTTCAGTAGCAAGGTAATGTGTTTATGTTGCTATTTCCACGATGAATGTGGGCTTTTCTGCGTATTTCTGCACAGTGGGAAAGTTTTCTTCGGTAGGCCTGTGTATCACATCCCATGACTGATCTGTCATGGTTGGTCTTGCAGGTCTCTGAACACACTTAGTCTTCATGGGTGTTGTTGCATCTGCTGGATGTGATCTCATTGTCCATTTCAGGCAGAGCATGTCACCATTGTAACAAGGTATGACCTTGGATTTTCATCTGAGTTAGAATTTGTCAACCAGCTGAATAATCCTGTTCTGTTCTGTTTCTCTCAGCTCCTCATCTTTAGCATCTCCAATATTACCCGCATATTCTGCCACAGAAGACGCAAGAAGTTAGCTTATACATGAAAGGACCATTACGTAATGTACACTGAGCAACACATTTGTTGTATTTAATGTACTAGTAGTTGCATTCATCAAAAGAGGAATGTGGTCGATGCCTAGTATCTTGAGAGGAAAACATTACTTTGTAAAGATAACTAAATGTTCTATTATAACAGGGTCATTAGATATATATATATTTGTTTGGGGGAATAATGAAATTTTGAAACTGTTCTTTGAGAAATGTTGCCTACATTGCCCACAACCAGGGCCCCGATCATGTGTAAGTACAACAAAGATTCATGATTGACAATCAATGACTGGAAACCCCATTTAGCCATTTGGTGCTGTTATGACTTGGTCGGCCATTTACACCAAGCTACAGGAGTTCATCTCCCCACCTTGATGCTGGTTACTACTAGTGCTCACCTCTCATGATGTTCCTGATCACCTTTATAGAACCTCCCCTCATGTTCAGAATTTGCATAACTCTTTGTCGAATCTGAAACAACATATACATTGTTTTTGTCATGATGGGTATTGATAAACTAGGACCAAGGATGAACTATTATAGGCATGAGATAATGGTATTTGTTATAATAAGAGATATACAATTAACATTATTAATGACAGGGGATTAAGGGGGCAGAAGATACAAATTATGAGAGATTTAATAAAATATTTAAGATATGAAGTGATTGGTAACGTTGTAAGGTGGGAGGTAAGGAAGAAAGTCAGTAACGTAGGTAATGAACATGAAAGTAGGTCGCTGGAGCTGGTGAGTGCAGGATGAAGTGACTCATAGCTTAGATAGAGGAAAAAACTACTATACTATCAAGATGGAGCGACGTGGCCGGGGACCTGGCCACCAGTTCCTGGTACTCTACGAGCCATATATGGTTAGGGGAGAGAGACCCTGAGATTCCTGGAATCCACCTCACGGTCGTACAAATATGGTAGTGGGGGTACGAAATAGAGGTGGGGGAGAGTAATAGATAGTCAAATTATGGGTTATTGACCAATAGAAAAAATGAAAAAGGGTGTTGGCTGTGACGTAGGAACCCAGGTTTAAGCGGGAGCAAAGCTCAGAAACGGGAGTCTGGTGCGGGCCTGCTCTTGCTGTTGGTCACTAGGAATCGTCTCAGAAATTATCTTGAAGCACCAGCATTTTGGCTTAAGACTGAAGCTTTGCGGCTGAAGTCTTATAGAGTGACCATAGAGTAGGTTGACCGGCAACACAGTGTCAATAAAAGCTATTGAACGAAGATCATCGTCTTGTGTTTGCTGGATGAACTACGGTAAAGTTCCAAGGGCCCCCGGGTACTGACACTGTACCTCTCGCACATCCCATATCGTCAGGACCGAAGTACGGGGGTATACCGTAGTTCAGGTAACGACACACCATCCCAGGTACGGGATACCGACAGGTAAAATACCATCTACCTGACAGGTAAAGGTGCTAGTCGGAACGCCTTGGAAAGAACAACTTAGCTCATGAAACAATTTATAAATGTTTTTCATCATTGTGTTGGTCATTTAAGACATGAATTCGTTTAGGGTGATATTATTAATAGGTTAGCCAATTGCCAGATTTGAACATAATTCTATGTTCAGATTATCTGGATATTAACAGAAGAATTATTTCTCCTTGCCTAACTTGTCTTGCATGGTTTTACATATTGACATAAAGAGAGAGAAAAGATTGATGACTTGCTCATTTAGTAATAATCGACTGAAATTGTGAACAGATTTTTCATATGGTAATTGAGGCACTTACTGATGGTGCCCCTGTAGCACAGATCTCCAGCATGATGTAGTCAATGAGTTGTAAGGTGAACAGTCCCACATCCAGTCTCTTCAGATAAAACACTTCCTCAGCTGTGTCATCGATGTCCTCGCCTGTCTGCCTCAGTCTCTGGAAGGCAATGCTTCAATACACATACCTCTTCTTTGCATGAGTTTTACAGACACAGGGATTCAGATGGGTTCATTTTTTAGGGCACAGAGATCTAAATGAAATTTAGGTAACACTACAGGAAAATTGTTCCATTAAAATAGCAAAACGAAAATTGAAAGGCATCAAGTCAGTTACCATACACAAGATATTTTAAGTAGTGATGGGTGGTACTAATCAGGTTTAAATTATTTAAATTCTGTGGCAAACTAGAGTGAGTTGGCTTTCATGCCACTCTATCAAAATTCCAGCAATATAAAAGGTGGGGACACCCAAAATTGGCTTTACACATTGTACCCATGTGGGGAATCGAACCTTTGACTTCAGCATGATTAGTGAATGCTTAGACCATAAGACTACAGCTGAGCCATGTGGCCAACTAGAAGGCTGTATGACATTTTAATTTGTGTAGTCATCATCATACAAACACAAAGGGAAGTAAGCAGCAGCACTAAGAACATACCTTTTTTTCTTTTTCAATCTGTTCATCACAAGTCCGCACTTTATCAAGGTACTTGAAGTGGAGTTCAAGTAGTCGTTCTACCTGCAGCATAACAAACATTATTTTACCTCCAATTCCAATTTGTTTTAACTCTTTAACATCGGCAGACAGAAAGATGTCGGCAAGAGAAATATGCAGTATCATTGGGGTACATGCAGCATGTACAGGTTCTTTTCAACACGGATTGCCAGATTCTTAAATTCACCTGCCCGACAGTCGGGTTCAAATTTAGACGTATATGAAGTTAGTATTAGTTTTTTCAATATTTTACATTAGTATTTTGTGTGGGCAGGTAAGTTTTGGTCTGGGCTGGCAAGTTTTACATCTAACCAGCCCTGTGGTATGGCTGAAATGTTTATGAGATTCATCCCCTGGTATATGTGGTTTGAGGCATCTCTCTGGTTATTATTCCCCTCATGATACAGCTACAACTTACAAGTAGAATCTCTACTGTGTGGTTAATTCAAGTCAAATTATCTAAAACTAAAGGATTCATATGAAGTACATGTATATTACCTTTTCATGATCATTTTCAGTAAATTTGTTGAGTAGTCTCTGCCTCTGTGGCCCAGAACAGTTCCGTAACAATGAACCAATCACAGAGCTGATGTGTTCTGGAACAGACAGAAAAGTGTCACATGGGTGATGAAATTTACCAGTAAATAGGCATTATAATCTAATCTGGATACACAACTGTCAACTAAGTCAAAGTTATTTCCTTCTCTTAATATTACAAATCAAAAATGCAAATACACATGCATGAAAACACATATATCTGTAGAAATCTCACAGTAATATCCAATTTGTTTTTCTGTAGCTCCAGTATACAGTACTCGTCAACATGAAAGATTTGTTTGAGGAAATCACAATAATAATGACACTGAGATCATGTTTTAAACAAGTATTTCCATCCAGTACTCATGTTTCTCACCCTCAAGCTCGTCAGGTGTAGGACCAGCCTTAGCCAGTTTCGGCGTCTTCATGAAGAGGGGAAAGACAGTTCGTAGCCCCAAGATGTCCACAAACTTCTGACAGTTGTCCAAACCCTCGTTCCCTGTCATGGCATGATTCAACACCTTGATAGCACTGTTCCTGGATAACTTCTTTTCTCTGAAATAGACATCTGGAGATTTTAAGGGGGTCACTAAATACCAGAAGGAGTGGAGATGCTTTCAACTGACCTGTTCACTATTTTCCAGTGTCACAGGAATGTCTGGTTGGTTGGGTGGGTGGGTGGACAAACATATTTATTTCTCAGTCTAAAACTAGTTATCATGGAAACTTAGGTTGTTATCAATTGTACTAAAATGGAGGTGGGACAGACATGTTGATATGCAGCAAAAAACTTGATGTCATTTCAATCCACCACAAGCAAATTGACCATGCTGACTGGTTCAAAGAATTCAAAGGAAACTGGGCAACAGCAAAGTCTAAGAAGAAACACAACATTTCAAACAACAGAATCACACTGCCAGTCAGACTACCCACAATTCTTGGATGTGAATGCTAAGATTTATCAAGAAAAGTATTCACACATACCAATGAACATAACTACGTCAATTGTAGAGCACTTGTAAGAAGAAGTGATCAAGTACAAACCTCAACATGAGATTCATCAACTGCAGACCTTCACCCTTGAGGAACTTGACTCTGTTGGCCGGCAGCATGAGGGACGAGCACAGACAGTTGAACATGTTCTCCATGTACTCAATCTCATCTTTAGTGTTAGGATCATGCTTCTTGTAGGCCTACAAGTACATACACCATCTGTACAGTCTCATGGCTTCCAACATAGGCCTACATGTACATACACCATCTGTACAGTCTCATGGCTTCCAACATAGGCCTACAAGTACATACACCATTTGTACAGTCTCATGGCTTCCAACATAGGCCTACAAGTACATCTCACACCATCTGTACAGTCTCATGGCTTCCAACATAGGCCTACAAGTACATACACCATCTGTACAGTCTCATGGCTTCCAACATAGGCCTACAAGGCCATACATACACCATTTGTACAGTCTCATGGCTTCCAACATATGGCTTCCAACATAGGCCTACAAGTACATACACCATTTGTACAGTCTCGTGGCTTCCAACATAGGCCTACAAGTACATACACCATTTGTACACGGTCTACTACTATTACTACTAACCGGCCTCCTATTACTACTAACCGGTGTAGTGGTTAGAGCAGCCGCCCACCGAGAGCCGTAAGGTCGCGGGTTCGATCCCCGACCGCGTCATACCAAAAGACGCTAAAATATGGTACTTGTTGGTCCCTGCCTGGCGCTCGGCATTAATGGGTACAACAAGGACTGGTCGGCTCGGAGTCAGTATAATGTGTCTGAGTGGGGTATTCATGCTTCACTGCGGCATGGTATCTCAGTGGGCTAGCACTATAAAACCAGCTTAAGTCTGGGCTAGTACAAGCAGCCGCACATACACATACACACGCATGCACGTCGTCATATGAGCGAAATATTCTCAAGCACGACGTTAAACCCAATTTCACCTCACGTCACCTCACTATTACTACTACTACTACTACTACTACTACTACTACTACTACTACTACTTCTACTACTACTACTTGTGGTATGTATATCTACTTGTCAACTTACAGCCAGCTGCTGAAGCAGGACATCGATGCCATCAATGTCTCCCAGTAACTGTCGGTTTTCTGTAAATACACAACCCAAAAGTACAGCAACACCAAGTGATTCCTAAACATTTCCTTTTAGACATTAGGTACAAACAGCATGAAATTCGAATGCTGTATTTTTCTTATTTTACTATTGGGATAGCTCTAAATGTTGCAAAAATATTATTTGATGGTTTTCATTATCTTGTCTTTTTGCTATTTCCAGAGTTGTTTTAGTTTTCAAAACAGACAGCAGACAGTGCATAGGATATTAGCTCATTTTAACTTTCCATTCAGATTGAACTAAATATACGATTTTATAAAAAATAAACCTCTCTCTTACCATCAGAATTTTGCAGCAGTATTGCCAGTATTTCACTTGAGTACAATTTGTTCCCATCAAATGGCATTTTAGCCTGAAAGAAAAAAGTACCAACATTATAATAGTTACAAATAATGAGGACCTATATGAAACAAGTAGCTTATTTTCTACAATATTTCCAAATCTGCAAGAATGAATGGGTGGCTGAACATATATGATCAGCCTCACTAGTAAATACACATGTACCAAATTTAAAGACATTTTGTAAAGCAGAATGGATTGGTTGGGTTTGTTTGTTGTTTAATGCCGCACTCAGCAATATTCCAGCTGTATGGCAGCGGTCTGTAAATAATCGAGTCTGGACCAGACAATACAGTAATCAACAACATGAGCATTGAACTACGCAATTGGGATGCAATGACATGTGTCGACCAAGTCAGCGAACCTGACCACCCGATCCTGTTAGTCGCCTCTTACAACAAGCATGGGTTGCTGCAGACAAATTCTAACCTGGATATTCACAGGTCTCGTAAAGAACTGACTAATGGCAGACCATAAATATCATTATGGTGACAATCAGATACAAAAAAGAAATCTCACACAAATTGGTGTGTCATTATTGGTGGGAAAGAGCATGTGGGGATATTGCATGAGAAGATGCCGTTTACAGTGAGATGAAAGTCATTTTGAAATACTTGTAGGATGTGATCCATGGTGCAAATGTCAAATTAAGGTCAAAAATAAAAAAACATCACCCAACAAACATCACCAGAGCATCTACGTTGAATCCCACTACAAACTTCATATCTTGCAATACAGACAGCACCCCGTGAAGATCCGGGTTAGAATTGGTCTTCAGTAGCCCATGCTTATTGTAAGGGTGGTCAGGCTCACTGACTTAGTTGACACATGTCATCGTATGCTCATGTTGTTGATTACTGGATTGTCTGGTCCAGACTCGATTATTTAGAGACCGCAGCCATATAGCTGCAATATTGCTGAGTGCGGCAGTAAACAACAAAACACCAACCATTGCAGACATCACTGAGTAAGGAGCATAAACATATTTCAAATATTTCAAATATTCCTTTTGTGCAAGCTGCTGGTATATGCCACACATGGAAGAATGGAAGAGGTTGGCATATGACTGTCAGGGAGAGTAGAAACACAACACGACATATAAACAAGTCTCTCTGGATAGGAGAGTAGAAACACAATATGAAATACTGTATATTACCGTAGATAAGCCGACCGCATAGATAAGCCGACCCCAAACTTGACCCTTAAAATCAGTGTCAAAATGGTATGTTTCGTACATAAGCCGATCCCCTGCGATGGGGTCCTAATCGCAGCAAACACAGACAACTGGCAGTTACCGATAATTATATAACTTTGGTCCACATTATTCAAAGAATTCACAATCATATTGCGTCTACTCACACATCGAAATGAAGTGTACCGGTAGTTGACAGAAAATGGATAATATATTTTGTTTCACTAAATATCATACTTATTGTTGCTGGACGATCACATGTCAACAAACTGGCTTGCATATTTTACCCCATTCCATGTGCGTATAACTTCTGCTTACCACATTTGTGAGGGTACGTTTTTCACTCCAACCGCGATAGCCAATTTCGCATCATATCATCAACAATCACGGACTGATAACCGCCTCGTTTGCCATGGACTGCTAGTTTACAGTAACTTTGGTAAAAATGTGTGAATTTAAATGGCTTGCTTATTTTACCTCATTCCATGTGCGTACAACTTCCACTTACCACGTTCATGAGGGTCCGTATAACCTTACTGTTGATTATATATATTTGACATATATAGAGCAAAAACTGTACATTAAAATTACACAATGCTAGGATATATTTCTTTGGGTTAAATAATAGTATTCTGTATTATATTTTACTGATGACTGCGTCAGAATTCGTTCCGCTATATTATTGTGCATGTTTGATCTTGATTGCCAGGAAACGTGTGCACAGCTGATTGCTATTTCCGGCTCAAATACACATGGTAATCTTAATCCCTGCAAATAATACAATGCCCAGCAAAAACAACTTAGAACTTAAAAGGTAAATAATCTTGTCTAGTGATGTTTAATTGCAAATTTGACATCTCTACTGACAAAGTCGTCTTCTGTTGTTTGCTCACGCGAAGCAATATGTTTTCTTACCCCTAGAAAAAAGTTTGATGAAAGCGTAACCCATAGATAAGCCGACCCCCTTCTACTGACTGCTTTTTGGGGTCCTCAAAATTCGGTTTATCTACGAAAATATACGATACGGCTCTCTGGCTGGGAGAGTAGAAACACAATACGACAAATAAACAAGTCTCTCTGGCTGGGAGTGGCTGACATATGACAAACAAGTCAGACTGAATATGGCTAGTGTGCTATAAGATGGTGGAAGAAGCTCCCCTACCCTGACTCTCTTCAGCAGCCACTGCAGGAGGCCTTGCTGGGCTGCCTCTGTGGTCACTTCAGTTCGAAACTCGGTGACATTCTCCACTATAGCTGGAACAGAAATATATTAACTCCACTGTCACCCGTTAATGGACATATGTACAACTTATATAAATATTCAAGACATGTCTGCTAATACACTATTACTTCATACACCAGTTAACCCAAGCTGCCTGTGAGGTACTAGAAGGTTAATAGTCATATGACTGATCACAACGGGTACCCATTCACTGCTGGGTGAACAGAGGCAATTTTGAATTCACTTGCCTAAGGTGAGACCACATGTTTTACATGTTCTTTGTTGTGAGGCAGGATTAAAGTCCTAGAAACTCTCAGGAGTCAAGCTGCCAAACATGGTCACCCCTCCAAGGACTCTCCATGACCAGCGTTGCTTAACTTGACCTGATTGCTTAACTGATGTGTAATCTGGGCTCCATGCACTTATTAGCTGTATTCAAGAAAACAATGACATCATTCATGCACTGAAATGTCACCTCAGTGTACATGTTGCTGAACAACCAGCATTGGTTTGGTGTTTAACATCCTGCATGGTTTGGTGGAGAACACCTAGCAAAGGTATGTAGCTGAACATTCAGCTTGCGTTTGGTGATGAAGAACAAACAAGGGCCTTGTGCTGAATAGTGCTGGTATTGGCATACAACCTGCGATACGATACATCACGATACTAAAATCTTAGTCACGACGATATATTGCCAATGTATTGTTTACTTAAGCTGTGATACGATACGAATCCCGATACAAAGGTGGCGATACGATACATATCACGATACTAAACTCTTTAATTCTAACACCAACTCTAAAAGATAATAACAAAACTATTTTAAAGCATTTCATCAAATTCCGCCAGCGTTTTTCAATGTTCATTCGGAAATGAGATAATTAAGACACAGACTTTGTGAATGTTAATAAAATGCGACCCCTATGTTTGACACAGTTCCTGACGCAAGAATTTCCGAGAAACTTATGAATGGAAAATAAGTACGCATATATTTTAATCATCAAACACAAGTAAGTCTTTCTTGAAAGATATCGCGATTCGGCAATATTCAAAGTAAAACATTGATGTATCATGGCCCATTTGAAACATCGTATCGGTATATATGACAATGTAAAACTGTGTATCGATTCACTGTATCGCGGCCCATGGATCAATGCATCGATGGGTATCGATGAATCGTCGTCACACCACTAGTGCTGAACAACCAGCCCTGGTTCGATGTTGACACACACAGGAAAGCAAGCCCTATGGTCAGGTAATGATCCCCCTCCCTTACCTAGAGTGTTATGCACACCATCACTCTCCTCCTTCACGTTCTCATCAAGTCGATCAAGATTCTGAACCAGAACTGCCACCACTTGCCCTTCCAACTAGAAACAAACAAACATTCGCTATCGTGAGCAAGGCAAGAGATGTACATACCTGCTGAAATGAACAATGGTGGATTTGAGAGACCAAAACATTGTTAAAGGGAGATGCACAACACATTTTATACACTACCCCAGTACATGTGCTGTTTCAACAGTGAAGGCAGGGAATTGATTTAGGTGGCACCTGTAGCACACCTGTGGCACACCTGCAGCACAACTTAGCACGGCTGGAGGACAGAAATATACAGCCTTCACAGACAGGGAGTATAATGGCTTATTTACTGATCAGCTGGTACATGGGTATTGAGGAAGGGAATATGGCAAAGAAACACAGGAATTGAAATGTCTAAATAACAGATAAGCTGGTATATGGGTATTTAAATGGGAAAGAAATTATTCACAGAATTGAGACATTCTGAATTCATTAAATGGAAGATTCACTTCCTGGGACACACCAAATATATTTTCAGTGATTTTAATAAATATCTTTACAAAATCTTAACACAAGAAATTAAGTTTTCTGGGCAGTAAAGTTTGGCATCTGATTGGAAAGATATTTAAGTGAGCTTCCCTTAACAGCACAGACTCACCAACACATCTACTACAGCACCTGCACCCTCTTCGCTCTCATTGAGGGTGTCAACGTCGGTCAGTTCCTGGATCAGGTCAACCACAGCTATTGCAATATCTGGCAACAGAACATCATTCATACATGCAGTTAATCTGCTCATGTGGAGTCACCACACACACTTATTTTCTGCATGCAGATCAAAATTAGTAGGTGAAAAAGGCATGTATTAACATAGACCATTTCTTTGTTTCATTTGACTGAGACAAATTTAAGGTTTCTTCCTTATATTGATAGCAATTAGTCATTCTTACTCTATTTCTCATAATACCCAAGTACATCATCATGGTCATTGCCACTAAATAAGGAAATCTTACTTGGTGGTCCAGTTATTACTAAATCACATCACACTGACATCTGAACAACTGCTAAAGGGTTTGGATAAACAATCATTATTGGGTTTGAGTAAAAGCAGTGTATGAAATAAGGCCCATCCGACCGCCCAAGATGGGTTAGATTTCTTAATTTACAGCTAGCCAGCCCGATGGTCTGTGAATTTTTTTAGATGTTCGATACATCTGAATAAATTCACCATATCTTGCTGTCTGGTCCGGTTAAATCCACTTTTGGATGGTAATGTTATGATCAACTCTTTGAAGGGCATTTAGAATTGATGTTAGGATGTTACCAGCCCTGACGGCAAGTGGGTTTTGGCTTATTTCATACACTGGTAAAAGGCATTACAAGGCTGGTAAACAACTGCTAAAGGGTATGGGTAAACAACTGCTAAAGGGTCTGGGTAAACAACTGCTAAAGGGTCTGGGTAAACAACTGCTTAAGGGTCTGGGTAAACAACTGCTAAAGGGTCTGGGTAAACAACAGCTGAAGGGGTCTGGGTAAACAACTGCTAAAGGGTCTGGGTAAACAACTACTAAAGGGTCTGGGTAAACAACTGCTAAAGGGTCTGGGTAAACAACTGCTGATGGGTCTAGGTTAACGACTGCTGATGGGTCTACGTAAACAACTGCTAAAGGGTCTGGGTAAACAACTGCTAAAGGGTCTGGGTAAACAACTGCTGAAGGGTCTGGGTAAACAACTGCTAAAGGGTCTGGGTAAACAACTGCTAAAGGGTCTGGGTAAACAACTGCTGAAGGGTCTGGGTCTGGGTAAACAACTGCTGAAGGGTCTGGGTAAACAACTGCTAAAGGGTCTGGGTAAACAACTGCTGAAGGGTCTGGGTAAACAACTGCTAAAGGGTCTGGGTAAACAACTGCTAAAGGGTCTGGGTAAACAACTGCTAAAGGGTCTGGATAAACAACTGCTAAAGGGTCTGGGTAAACAACTGCTAAAGGGTCTGGGTAAACAACTGCTAAAGGGTCTGGGTAAACAACTGCTAAAGGGTCTGGGTAAACAACTGCTAAAGGGTCTGGATAAACAACTGCTGATGGGTCTTGATAAACAACTGCTGATGGGTCTAGGTAAACAACTGCTGATGGGTCTGGGTAAACAACTGCTGATGGGTCTAGGTAAACAACTGCTAAAGGGTCTGGATAAACAACTGCTAAAGGGTCTGGGTAAACAACTGGGTCTAAAACAAATGGGTCTGGGTAAACAACTGCTAAAGGGTCTGGGTAAACAACTGCTGATGGGTCTGGGTAAACAACTGCTAAAGGGTCTGGGTAAACAACTGCTGATGGGTCTGGGTAAACAACTGCTGATGGGTCTGGGTAAACAACTGCTAAAGGGTCTGGGTAAACAACTGCTGATGGGTCTGGGTAAACAACTGCTGAAGGGTCTGGGTAAACAACTGCTGATGGGTCTGGGTAAACAACTGCTGATGGGTCTTGGTAAACAACTGCTAAAGGGTCTGGGTAAACAACTGCTAAATGGGTCTGGGTAAACAACTGCTGATGGGTCTGGGTAAACAACTGCTGATGGGTCTGGGTAAACAACTGCTAAAGGGTCTGGATAAACAACTGCTAAAGGGTCTGGGTAAACAACTGCTAAAGGGTCTGGGTAAACAACTGCTAAAGGGTCTGGGTAAACAACTGCTGAAAGGGTCTGGGTAAACAACTGCTGAAGGGTCTGGGTAAACAACTGCTGCTCTGGGTAAACAACTGCTTAGGGTCTGGGTAAACAACTGCTGAAGGGTCTGGGTAAACAACTGCTGATGGGTCTGGGTAAACAACTGCTGATGGGTCTTGGTAAACAACTGCTAAAGGGTCTGGGTAAACAACTGCTAAAGGGTCTGGGTAAACAACTGCTGATGGGTCTGGGTAAACAACTGCTGATGGGTCTGGGTAAACAACTGCTAAAGGGTTTGGATAAACAACTGCTAAAGGGTCTGGGTAAACAACTGCTAAAGGGTCTGGGTAAACAACTGCTAAAAGGTCTGGGTAAACAACTGCTAAAAGGTCTGGGTAAACAACTGCTAAAGGGTCTGGGTAAACAACTGCTGATGGGTCTGGGTAAACAACTGCTAAAAGGTCTGGGTAAACAACTGCTAAAGGGTCTGAGTAAACAACTGCTAAAGGGTCTGGGTAAACAACTGCTAAAGGGTCTGGGTAAACAACTGCTAAAGGGTTTGGATAAACAACTGCTGAAGGGTCTGGGTAAACAACTGCTAAAGGGTCTGGGTAAACAACTGCTGATGGGTCTGGGTAAACATCCAGTAAAGATATGGAACTCGCAAAAATATGAGAAGTAACAAAAGTGTCAACATTCTTCTGTAAAAACAAATTTGATACATTAGTATTTAGCACTCACTTCATACAAATACTTGCCACTAACACCATAACATGAATATAACATGACTTATCTGGAGGATGGCTTGTTCAGGCATAGGTTATTGCATCTGTGTTACCTGATATGTTAACCAAACCTGCAGACAAAATGTATCCTTGACACCATAACATGTCTTTTAGTTGGACTACACCCATTCCACGGCCCCGACCTCCCATAGGATTACCCACAGCAGGATACATCAGGACTCTTCCATGGTCTGAACCCTAGTTCATAAAAGGTTGCATTTCTTTTGCGGTTCAATATGCTTACTTTTGCAATCCATCCAAAAAAGTGGCCAAGCAAATAAAGTAACAAAAAAAAAAACCAGAAATTTCTCCATGTCCAGTGTGTCCTGCCTGACATGTCCATTATACCAGCAAATTCAATCTACGTGTGCAAGATTTTATATGGCCGACATACCTGTGTTTTCATGTGTGAGCAGCTGCAACAGTGACTGCACTGTGTTTAACTCCACCAGCACATGGTAAAGGTCTGGCACTGTGGCAATCACATGCATCTCCTGTATGATGTCATTCAGCTCAATCTCAGACTCCATAAACCTGTCACAGGTAGGACAAACAGGCACATTACTAGTATTCATCTCTTTCAGCATCACATGACCAAATACATCATGAACAGATCTGAATATCAGAGGCCCAGATAAGCTGCGTATACAGGTAAAAAATGTGCATAGAAAATTTCAAATTACGCATTGAAAAATAGTTTTTGCGTACCAATTACGCATTTAAAATGTTAGATAACGCAAAAAGTTTAAAACAAAAGCGTACGGAACATATTTATAAAAATCGCTTGCATAATGAAAAAGACATCGATTGCTATCAAGTTGTACTGTTAGTATAGGACAAGCGTTGTACTGTCAGTATTGGATGATTTTTTATGAAATCATTTCCATTATATTTAAGTTGGTTTTGATTAGGTATGACATAAGGCAGAACATACCAGCTTAGTAAACTTACTCAATGACATAATACTTACGTGAGTAAAATGACTGAAAAATGCACATATTTGAAAGCAGTGGGTAACGGAAAATGAAATACCCACTCAACATTCATAATACCCACTCCAAAAGCATACAGTGGGTACAGTACCCACATGAGCTAAATCTTATCTGGAGCTCTGGAATATTACAATAGTATAGGTCCCAGCCCTATCATGCATGTCTTAAAGCACTACATCACACTACACTTCTCTAAAAATAAATAATGCATTTCTCTCAATAATATATATATATATATATATATATATATATATATATATATATATATATATATTTATATATATAAGAAGAAGTTTCTGAAATAATCACACGACACGATCTTTGATCCAACATGTTTCACTTTTATCTTCAGGGAGAAGTGATTACAGTTCTATTATATATACATACATACATACATACATACATACATACATACATACATACATACATACATACATACATACATACATACATACATACATACATACATACATACATACATACATACATACATACATACATACATACATACATACATACATATATATATATATATATATTGCATAGATAAATAAAACAGAATGCCAGATAAATTTCTCCTATTATTTATCTATGCAATATTTCCCTGACTGAACACCTGTACTACTTTTGGACATTTTGTGCGATAGATTTTTACAGTATTTAAGTAATCCAGATTAAAGTGAATAATGAGATCTTGATATTCATCATAATTTTAAATAAAGAAGCATTGATTGTGGTTTTATATGCCCCAATATATACATATATATATATAAGAATGTATATATTGGGGCATACACGCACTCTTTTTAACTTTGTATTGATGCAATTAAAGATTTATTATTCCCTTTAATACTATGACTTGGCTGAAACAGATAATTGAAACTTTGAGGAGAACAGCTTCCAAACAGAGAACACTTGCCATATATGAAATGTAAACAATTTCTCCGTACATTGACAACTGTCGCATGCGGTGTTGTCGGTGTTTGCCAAACTGGTATCAATCACAAGTTGTGTGTAGGATATTCATAAAGAACGCCCAAGGGACATAACTCTATAGTGTGGCTGAGTGTTCCTGTGTCAGCAGTGTGGAACACTGTTGTATTGGCAAATATCTATGTTGGATACCCTATCACTTCATCTGATGGGGAGGCAAATGTTGCACAAGTAACACTGACATCATTTCATCACATATAATATTCTCTATCAGGGATTTACAGGACGCGAATTCCTGCGTCCTATCAAATAAAAATTGACAATGGACGCAACAAAATGTATTAGCGAGCCCACAGGGACTCAGAAAAAGTCCAAATACTTTTTGTACAAATTCCAATCAAGTGACAATAAGTTATCACTGAATTTGCTACCAGCTGGGTTATGGTATGTTTTGCAATTTAATTACTGTAACAATGTGATGATCATGATACACAATATAACAATAGTATTAATGATAATATTTAAGTGTCTGGGACCCCCATTTTGTTGTTCAGGACCCCTGAAAATCAAGAGTATGAGTCCCAGGGACCCTCAAATACAGGACTCAAAGTAAATCCCTGCTCTATAGACTAGTTTGGCTGGGACCAATCAAGACTGGCTGCTGACAAGTCAGTCAGTAGCTACCAAAAGGGTTCAGTTTCACACAAGCCAGTCTGAAAGTGAGTAACTCAAAATGCCATGATATAACTGGAATACTGTTAAAACAGGTTTAAACACACCTCACTCACTCAATTACTAAAATAAGCAGCAACATCACCAGAATTTGATTCGCCTTGTTTGTCATCCAATTAGGAACTGTGATGAAAGCTATGGATGCATGTCCATCAAGACATAATACATATGAAACCAAGAAGCACTGATGTATTGACAATAATCCTATTTATTAAAACTTACTAACATTGTCAGATATTACTTATGAATGTGATGGATGAATGAAATCTGTAAAAACCAGTAAGACATTGAAAGGTGAATGTCATCCACTTTCACAAAACTGACAACTCACTTTTCAGGCAGGTCCGGAAATTTTATCCTCATTTCCTGATTTCGGTATACTTTCTTTTCAAACTGCAGCAACATTTTCTTCAGATTTGTCTCATCCAAGACATCAGTCTGAAAAATAACACTTTGATTTATACAAACAGTAAGGTCAATTCTTGTCTCATGTTCTGATGCCAAAACCTGTCACTCCTAATGTACTCCTATTTATCAGCTGATGGATATGAAGTATTCTTTTTAAGATGTTTCAGTGATGCTTAAAATGCCCTTAATTTTATTCCATGCAATATAATAGACTTATTCCCCAGAAAATATCTACAGTGGTGGATGATAACCTCAATACTTACTGGAAGGTCATCATCAGCCATCTCTAGGATTCGTTCAGGGTCATCATCGTCTCCCATCCTCCTCTTTCGAGGGACATCATATTCAGGACGATCGTCATCTCTTCTCTTCTTTAGGTTGGCAATTGGTTTGTCAGGCTGTAAATCATTGAAAATTATGATGATTAGTACTTAAATAAAAACACTATATGAAACTTATCAGTGACAGGTCAATGATTCCTTGATGTACTCATCCACCTTAAGAATACTTGGTCATCCACATTTGCCCACATATGCCATTTTCTTGATTAATGATATGAATACTACTTTGATCAGAACTGACCATTATAATTCATATTCTTAGAAACAATGACAACATCAGATCCAGAGAAAACTTTACTTTATCAGTGTAATCCTGTATGGTATCAATTATCAGGAGAGAAGTGTCAAATGGGACATAATAAATTGTACCCAAGCATTCATTTGTGTGATAATCCTGCATGGCCAGTGCTCTCATCAATGATACATGACAGACAGATGGTCATCACCATTAACTTTTGCAAACAATCATTAATCATTTGCATCTTGCCTCTTGGACAAATCAAAGTGAGAAACAATTCAGACCATAGTGTTCATGAAGTGAGTGTATGCTGTTTAACACCACAATCTACATTGTTCCAGCTATACATCATAGTGTTCTGTAGCTAGACTAGATCAGAGAGAGAAAAGGTTGATAGGATGAAGTTGCTTGAACTCTGGAATCTCCCAGGATTACAGAACTAATTTGACTTTGGGCTACAGTGTTTGATTGATGCACTGTATGCCATTGTGATCAGATGATTTGGATTGTTGTTCTTGCTATCAACCATATATTTGCCTGTCCCAGATTGGTGTAATACTGCAGTTTATCAAGTGCACCTTACTGTAGCGCTAAATGACTTAGATTGCTGACTGTGGCTCTCACGTCACAGATCTCTTGTACCTCTTTGATTCTTAAACCGCCTCCGTGTTAAGTAGTAGTGGTTTCACCCAACTCTATAGCTTAGTTAAGCATAGATAGGGTAGGGTTCACCCAACTCTATACCTTAGTTAAGCGATCCACCGGGTGATAGCGGAAGGTTTCACCCAACTCTATACCTTAGTTAAGCATAGGGTAGGGTTCGATCCCCAACTCTATACCCTTAGACATCATACCAAAGGCGTTAAAATATGGTACTTGTTGGTCCCCTCTCGTCTGGCGCTCGCATTAATGGGTACAACAAGGACTGGTCGGCTCGAGTCAGTATAATGTGTCTGAGTGGGGTATTCATGCTTCACTGCGGCATGGTATCTCAGTGGGCTAGCACTATAAAATCAGCTTCAGTCTGGGCTAGTACATGCAGCCGCTCATACACACGCATGCACGTCGTCATATGATAGCGTAAATATTCTCCCAACCACTATACCGTTAAACCCAATTTCACCTCACCTCACCTTTGATTTAAGCATAGATAGGGTAGGGTTCACCCAACTCTATACACTTAGTGGTAGTGTTTCTTGTGTTAAGCATAGATAGGGTAGGGTTCACCGAACTCTATACCTTAGATCACTTTTCTGATCAAGCAATCCTTTACGAACAGTTGGGTTTGTATCAAGTTTCAAGTTTTATTAACAATTTGGATACTGCACATGTGCATAAAGGTAAACGTTTGTGTGCTGATGACTTGGTAAGCAGCACTACGTCATAGCCTATGCTCCCCTGCTACTGCTAGGATGTTGGCTTATCAGAATAACATATTAGGCTTCATTAGCTTCAAGGTGGTAACCTGAGTTCAGCCCCCCACCTTTAACTGAAATAAAAAATGTGCTTCCATTAAACACGTTAAAGTGCAAATACTCAACAGAATGGGATTGTTATGGTGGAATTACAAGGTTCTTGAACTTGTTCACATTTGTTCAAACTTGGACTGACTGGCTGACTGAGTTTAGTTTTACGCCGCTTTTAGCAATATTCCAGCAATATCACGGCGGGGGACACCAGAAATGGACTTCACACATTGTGTGTTCCAACTTGGACCTTGCACATGAAGCAATGATGCACTCCATATATCCCATCGTGTTTTTTTCAGAGAGTTAAACCAATTAACTAAACTTTACACGGCCCCTTCCCACTAATTAAGGAACAACGATGAATGGAAATACCAGCTGACAACTACACTGCCGGTTAAACAACGTTGACTGACGAATTTAGGGTACATAACAGGTGCTCGTGCGAGTATATTCCATCGTAACTTTCAGTGGGAAACCAAATTACACGCAGTTTGATTTTTTACAACAGAAGCGGCTTTACTAAAATCCACAATACGTGTAATGCGATCTGTGGAGAAATATTACTATAATAATTAGACTACCTGGTATGATAACAGTTCTCCTACGTCCATGTTTGACCCAAATTATTACTTCCGGTTGATCATATGACTTACTTCGACCAATCAATGTAGAACAATGGCGGCCTCTACACCAGAGGCTGTGGTGTTCTAGCCTTACAGGATTTTAATCTTTTTGGATACTATTTCATACTAATTCATATTTAATTATAGCCATTTCTGAGTCAGATTGACAAGGTTTAAGGAAATCGCCAACGGGTGAGGATTTGCTTTCATTTAAATTCCTTAATTTGACTGACAAAGCGTCTCCTTTGAGTCGACACTGAAAACGTGTGACAAGACGGTTTGTGGATGTGATCAGGCCTGGACATACTGTAACAGCGTCAGTATTTTCATGATTGGTTGTAGGATAGGAAAATGACGAGATGCCATTCACGACACACGTGTGTCTGAATCAATGGTCACTTTACTGTCATTGCTGTCCAATTAAAACTTTTAACTTTTATTAATGCTCGCCTTTTCATGTTTCACATCAACCCGTTGCTACAAGAAAGCATGTACCTGCTTAATTGTAACTCTCAGTATTGATATTTTCCTATGCAGATATAACTCCTTACCAGCCAAATGGAAGCTGAGGAGTTTATGGAACAATCGCCAGAAAATGTGACCGAACAAGACAAAGATGGTGAAACAATTGACATTGATGCTCTTATTCCTGATAAGTCATCCAGCTCTGGACACCAGAGTGACTATGGCTATGATGAAGAGTATCCTAAGAGTCAGGAATCTATGATAACTGACATTCAGAGTGCTGAATTAAATGAAAATGAAGCAAGTGTTGAAGAGAGTGACAGTGAAGAAGAAAGTCCAGAGTCACCACCAGCTCAATATGCATCTCCTATGGAACATGAGTTTCCAGTTGTTGATGAACAACAGCATGTAAACATCAGGTCACCTGTTGATATGCAAGATGTGGAAGGACCCACATCTCCCAGCCCAGGTAATTATGAAGAGAGTCCAGGTAGTCCTCAAGAACTGCAGAGTGGGACAAGTTCTCGTTTGTATGAAGCAAGTGATGCAATGGAAGATAAAGAAGGCACCGAAGGTTCTGAGCAAGATGAAGCAAGGTCTGTTCCAGAAGAAGCTGATGGTGTACAGAATGTATGGGGAGATGACACTCCTGCATCCCCAGAGCCATCATATATGACAGAAAATGACTCTGCAGTTTATCTTCAACAAGAGGACCAGGGTGCAGACTCAACAGTTGACCAAGGAGATGCAATATCAACTTCTTTTGCCCAGGAAGAAGAACAACAACATGCTGACAGCTCAGGACACATCTCATCACATCAGAGTCCATCTACTGACAAGGTTTCAGAGGACCTTGCTATGGCTGAGCATCAAACTAAGGAACATTGTGATTCAAAGGAAGAAGAAGACTTGTATTCTCTTGACCTGATGGAAGGAAACACAGAACAGAGTGAGGACGGTATATGTGACAGTGCAGTCAGCAGTAGGGAAGCAATGGCAAGAGATTCTGATGATAGTGTAAAAGAATCAGAATCTTCCCTCCATGATGACAAGCATTCTTTATCTCAGGTTGATGCAGATTCCAAAGTATCTCAGAGTGTTGACAAACCACAAATATTCTCAGAAAGCGATGCCAGTGTGCCCATTGTACATAGTAGTGTTGTTACTAGCTCACCAAGGGCATTAATAGAACACAGCAGTGCACCTTCTAATGACACATCGGGTAGCTCTGAAGTGTCACAAAGTAACATTGATCCAGAGTCAGATGTTCATAGTTCAAAGGATCCTGAAAAAGATATCTTACGGAACATTTCCATGGAAAGTGTAGATTCACTAAGAAAATTTGAGGAGATAGGTGAAAATGGCAGTTCCAGAGCCATCCTTAATGGTCATGATATTTCCCCTGTCCACAGAGACAGTGATAAGGCAGGTAAGGTGCAGTCAAATACCAGCTTCAATGAAGAGCATGTAGAGCTAGATTATGATGAAGAGGAAGGTGATGATATGCATGGGCATGCCAATGACGCCAAGGATGCAGGAGAAGATGAGGACAGGCAAAAGGATGGAGATGAAAAGGTTTTTTTCTTACTTCTGCAACTTTCAATAGTCTTTTCAACATTAGCCAGCAAATGCAGAAGAGATTTTGTTTAGTTTTGATATGTAGCATTTTGAAGTAAAAGGAATAAGTACCATCACCATTTGGAACAGCATATAAAACCTGGTAAAAGATACCTTTATTAATATTTTATGCTTGTGCACAGTTCCTAGTTGATAGTTGTAAACAGAATTTACTATGGCTAAGTTGTGAAATTTGCAAAGTTTCCTGAAGTAGTTGATCTGTACCAAAGTTGAAATAGTTTCAGGAGTATCAGATAGTATATCAGAAATTAATTCAATCTGAAACCTTTAAGATGTCACTTTGACTGAAATATTTTCATTATGAGGATAAGTGAGTGAGTTTCTACAGCTGTCATGCCCCTATACTAGAATCCTGTTTGTTCAGGGGAGGTTACTTATGTTACCCGTGTTCTATGGTTACAGGGCACAGACCAACTCAAACAAAAACCTGACTATATCTAAAAGAATCATAAGACCCATGTTACTTTTGACTTGGTTTACTGATAAAGACATTTATAAGTCCAAGGTATATTATCTATCTATGTGGGATTTATAACTGTAACATTCAGAAGAATACATGAACATTCTTAAAGAAACTGTGGAAGAATTTGTTGTCTTGTGTACAAATAATAGTGAAGAAATTTAAGGGTCCTGAATAGTTATTTTTGTATTATGGATATTATTGAACTCATTTCCAAGAAAGAAAACATTTAGATTTTAATTTTTTTATTGGTTTTGATTGATTGTGTGGTCAAATCGGAAACATACTGAGCCATTTCTTTAATGTTTTTTTCTTCATTAAACATGTTAAAGTGACACTCTTATTATTACACTGTTTGGTTATAAAACATTCAGTTGCATTCAGTTGCATCTATTTAATTAACTTTATTCACAAATTCATTTAGTAGTATTAACTCTACACGTTTTGGCTCAATTATATGTGAAGTGATCACAACTCTCTGTTATTTGGAACAACCACAAGAAGGTCACTATGCATTGTCACTATAAAAGTTATTTTTGTTTGTACATTACACAATTTAATCCATAATCCAATACACTAATTAATCCTCTTGGCATGCTAGATAATCAGGAAGTAGTGATTGCGCGATGAATCAAACGCTCTAAACCGTCATGGATATGAGCAGCCCAATCTAGGTCCCTTAATCCAATTCATTGTTGAACAATTACAAAAGATCAAAGATGAGTGTCTAATCCAGCACCCTGTCTAAACCAGTATTTTATTTCGGTCCCATGGGGTTCGGTTTAGACAGGTTTCACTGTAGTTGCAGACTTACTGTCTTCTTAACACTGAACAACCATTCTTTGAGTTATATAGCTGGGTATCTTTTGTCTAAATCACTTGTAGGAGAAATGGTCTCCAGCTTAGTTACAAGTGGAGCAGGTGTGGTAATCTTAATTTCTAAAGATATATCTACATAGAAGAAAGTAAAAGCTATCAAAAGGGTGGGTCATACTGTCTAGTAATGAATCTGAAAAGAAATAGAAAACCTTCCTACTGAATCTATTTTTTTAAGCTGATGTAGTGCTACCATAATGTGAAACACCTGTTTGAAGGGGTGTTAATTATCAACTACTGTATCCATGGTAGCCATTATCATTTGTCTTCTTCTCTAAGCGTTGGAAGAAAAGGATTATATGAGGCACAATGAATGTATGAAGCCTACTTTGGTATGCCTCCCATTTTGATGGAATACTGTAAAATATAAAATTTATCTGAAAACTACAGTTCTTCCTTGCCTACATTGATAAAGTAAACAATAATCATATGGGCATATTGGATTATTTTTGGCGTGTCAAGTTAATTCCGCTTGGCTGGTAACAATGACATTTTACAAAGCTTACAAATGAACATTGTAATTGAGAGCTCGATTTTGACAGTGCTTCCATGTTCCGTATAAAGTGCATTGAATTTGTTTACACAAGTTGATCAAACTGTTTCAATAGTTGCTAACCATGTATGATGACGTTTGTGTTATTGTAAACCTGTCAAATAATCTAGGCCAAATAAAAAAATGTTGTGGTTACCATTACATCTCTTTAAAATTGAGTTATGGTAGGTAGGATTTTAAATTTGTTTTTACATATTTTTTTTAGAAGTAAAGCACAACTAATAACACATTTATCAGTGTGTAATTGTTTATGCAATCAAGCTTGCAGCCGTCATGTCGACTTTCTCCATCAGAATGACCGATGTCTGCCATTGCCGGGAAAAACCAGTGGTATCATACCGCTGAGAAAAAATAGGGTCGGCTCCAGAATTCAATTGTCGGTCGGGTAAATGGAACCACAACAATGTTTTTAGGCCCTTATAACCTGTGAACTCAAGAATAACTCACCTATGTAGTGAACAAAACCAGAAAATGAATACAGAACGCTTTCACTTACTCTCAAAGGATTGAACTAACTTGTGATAACTTGTAACTCTGTGTGTCCATTCAGTAACTACCCAGAAATGAGTACTTTATTGCAAGGGCAGATAACCAATTTTGTTACATGAAGCATGAAACTAGGGAGTGTTCCAATGTGCATGTTCAAGTTTTCCGATTCTCGGTACCAAAGGCCTCAACATGAACAGTATTTTTCTTGTTTAACCAAGAGTAAGATCAGTAGCTTACAATTGTTTACATTGTGTGATGTAATCTTTCAGCAGGATGGGGAACTGTCATCGTCAGATGATGAAAAGGATGATGGTGAACTTGAAGATGTGAGTTGATAGGTTGCCTTCCTTGTTAATTTCATGTTATCATACAGTAACTGAACACACTGTCAAGTTTATAACGATACTGCAATGTGGTGAATGAACCTTTAAGATTCAAATTATGTAAATATGTGGCAATGCAAATGTTACGACACAAGCTTTAGTAAAACCTGATGATAGCACCAGGATATATCAAGGATTTAACCTAAGTCAGTAAGTGTCCATTGCAGGCATATTGGAAACAAACTGTTCTGGCCCAACATATAAATGTCCCTTTAAACTTCAGAAATTGTCATGATATTCAAAGCCTTTTATCATGCTTATGTATAACTATGTATTAAGGCCTTTTTCAGTTTGTTGTTCCTATTATCAGGGAAATTCAAGGACTTTTGCAAAGCATGTCTATTATTTGTGTTTGTGTTAACCTGAATTGGAAATTTAATTACAAATTACAAATTTCACTGTACACCTAGTGCATCTGGGGTTAAACATAAGCCATAGGTAACACCAGGTTCAAACCCATCTAACTATGGCAGCTCCATGTTCATGATGAGCCTTGTATGATAGGAATTGCCGTCAGAATTGTATTGCTGACAATTTCTAATCTGAGACATGGGCATGTTAATTGTGTTAATACAGGATGTTGTTACTGTATGGGGTGAAATGTGCACAGTTGAAATAAATGATGTTAATTGTGTTACTGTAGGATTGTATAGTTGAAACTAAAGTTGACTAAATGCTTTCTTACATGTTAACATAGTTAAGTTATTTGTTAGACTAATTACTTGTACTTTCAAACATGCTGGGTAATTTTGATAACAAGACAGTTGAGGATGTTTGGGAACGTGTGTCGTCAGCAACGACAGATGAGTACTGTATTTCCAGGATGAAGATTGTGAGGAAGGTGAGATAAGAGAACCTGGAGGGAGGCGGCCATTTGTGAAACCTATCTGCCGCTTTTTCACCAAGGGAAATTGTACGTGGGGCAATAACTGTCGCTTCCTGCATCCTGGAGTAAATGATAAAGGTAATGTATGTGAAAGGCAGCATCAATGACTGACTTTAAACTTAGGAAATAAAGTTCGCTCTACCCCAATGTGTTTTGTAATAAAGTATAGTTTTGCCCTGAACTATTATAATTAAAGCACGAGGGCGGTAGTGCTTTTGATATTATAATAGTTCAGGGCAAACTATACTTTATTATAAAACACATTGGGGTAGAGCTTAACTTTACCTCTTCTAAGATGCTAAATTTAATACTTTCTAAGGATAATTACAATTAATTTAAGGCAGAAAACAAATGGCGGATTAATAGGTGACCTAAATTAAGAATCTTAGCACAGGGCTAACTGGTGCGCTGTTCTATTGATGTGGCTGCCCCCCTACGTTAAGACAAACGTTACCAGAAAAAAACAAATAACAGTTTGATGACGGTTTACGTTCAGATTAAATATCTTCTCTGAATTATTTTAATTACATCAGTCATTAGCGTAAAACCATATGGGGCAATATAGGCGTACCGCATTTCTACTACCAAGCGTAAGTTTAGATCAGTACATCCAGATGAAGCTGAGTAGTCAGCGCATTCCACGATTGCATTGTGGGAATGTAAACATTGCGAACGTAACAGTGTCGCTGAAAACTTGTGAGTCGAATTGACACATTTTAACCGTCGTAAAACATAAACGTAATGTTTCCACCAGTGATGTTAGCTGCGTGAAGCAACTGCAAACCAAGAAACGGGATTCAACGGAGTAGTTTACTGTAGGACGCCGTACAAGGCGATGACAACTGACATGCATCGTGACGTCACTTACATTGTGACGTAATGTAAAATAATTCGATTACGAGGGGGCACACTAGAATGGCGCAGTGACGGGATAACGTCATTCAATTGTTACGTCATCAAAAAACTATACCTTTATTGTCTCATAATGTATTTATTTTTCGATTGTTCTAACCGCTAGGCATCTTAGAAAAGAGTTTAAAACCAGAGTCTAGGAAAAATATTTTTGGGATAGTTACATCGGTTAACAGTAGTCCATATGTTTGTAGAAAACATAATGCTAAGAGTCATGTTGAGTGGACTCAGTAGTGCAGTATATATCTGATGTATGGTTGAAGCAATCCAGTAGCTTCGGTTGAATGTTGTAGTGACGATGCAGCAGCAGCAGCAGGAATGCAAGAGAGTATATTGTTAATGTGTTTCAGGCAACTACCGCTTATTTGAACCGCCGGGCTACAATGGTGGTGTGCTGGGACGGCTTGGACCAACTTGGGGCCCAGAGGTTAGCCATCACGTCTTTTCTTTACCCATGTTGTCAAACTGTTTTATATTATATCAAAAACACATCCATGTACGTTATTATTCTTTTTCATACAGATTCATACAGCATATATACATCTGTGCATAAAATATGCACCATCCTGTATATTTGTCCCCCGCCGCAACGTGTCCGTCTGTCCGTACTCACGTCCCGATTCTTGTTAATGCGATATCTCATGAACTGTTTTACCCAATGTCTTCAAATTTGGTGACAGCCTACATTGGGGGATTACCCAGACACCAGTTGATTTGGGTGACCTTGACCTTATCTTCAAGATCACCACAACACTTTGAACATTTTTCAAACTCTTGTTAACGCGATATCTCATGAACTGTTGTACCCAATGTCTTCATCAACTTCTTCACCCATTTTCATCAACATATTCTTTCATAAAGAATAGAAAAGGTTATGGTATTTGTAAAACTGTCAGTTGATAAAGCTTCTTTGACTACAGGTTGATTAAATTGATTGCTGTACCCTAACTTTTCTGTAGCCTCACAACTTATTTGCAAAATAGGGTGGTGCTTAATTAATGCACGGGTGTATAGAAAGCAACATATTAGTTAAAAGAATTTAAGACGTTTGTCGTTTGTCATATATAAAAATATGCACATGCTCACACGGATATATATAGACATAGAAATATACACACATATATACCCATGCACACATACAATAGCTCAAACACTTCATAGGAGTTTTTATTTCTTTTACTACTTCAGAATTACTTGAAGTTTTCACTTTTTGGCGTTTTCATTGATGCAAATTTCAGTTCTGGCACAGAAGTTAAAACTAATTGTGTAATTGCTTCATGCAGCTTCACAAAATTATCAATCTATTTGGGAGAAGGTTCCTTTTGCTGAATCAGCAAATTTTGAATGTGTTCAAGTAATGTCAACAGACAATATAATATAAGTGAATTTCATTACAGTCAAGGGTCCACTTAATATGTCTTGAATTAACAACTGTTGATTCTTGTCCATGTTGTTTTGATACTATTTGTGTATAGCTGTTATGGGGTCATTTCAGCCTGGCATAGAACCGGAATTACCTCCCCCTCCCCCTGAACCCCCAGCAACAGAGTCAGCCTGGGAGAGAGGTTTGAGGCATGCAAAGGAGGTAAGCAGCAGTTCTTCAGATTCACTTTGATCTTTTGTTTTTGGACTTTCATGCTAGTTGATCTGAATTTTAACTCACAATGAATTATGAAGTGGAGTCGATATCAAAACATTGATTGCAAGGCTCTCACATAGTAGGATGGTGTACTCATTGGTTTGTCAACTCCAGACTGGTGCCCTGTAACCCCAATGCCATCATGGTGCTACAGGGTTCGAAATCTACGCTAGTCCACTTGCCCAAGGCTAGTAAATCTCCCGGAGGACTACCAAAACATCTAACAGTACTAGTCCGCCGGGCTACCAGGCAGTAGTCGCATCAAAATTATATATAACTTTATGGCAACCTAACTAACATATGATTCATTAATTAAATCTATCACTTTTCACAATGTCTGAAAACACTTATTACATTTCAAATGATCATATATTATCGACAGAATTGGAATTAAAAGCTATTTTTCGCAATGTTATTGAAAAAAACAGTTCTTGGACAGCTTCAAACAGGTCCACATCAAAGTTGTCAAAGAGCAAAGTAATGATGTTTTGAGATAATAATTAAACAAATTGAATAAACTGAAGAATATATTCAATAACTACTCATAAAAGTTGTCAAACGTACATTATAACTTACTATTTCCATCTTTATTGTGCGATCGTGTAATGTAATTCAAGTGACATCTTGGCTTTTGTCGCCTCGAACTTCGTGCTCGGACAAGATGTTTAATGCTAAAATATATGCATGAAGCATTTTTGTCACAGGACATAACCTAGCATGATACGTCCACTAAGGTCCAGAACATACGTATAGGTAGTGATCTTGTGCGTAACACGTTCAGAATAGCATGAATTTACCCAAAACTTTCTTCTGAATCTAAAAGTTTTTGTTTACGAGGATGGTAATCATTGCTGTAATATGATTGGCTGCCTTAGATCATGACTGTTGACAGAAAAGCCTCATTAGAAACCAATCTTTATCCAATAAAATCGCTTCTTAAAACTCTGAAAATACTCTTGGCAAGGGTACAGTGATATTGTTGATGTTCAGAGCTTTCGAACGATAGCCGCCATCAAATGAATCGCCTCACATGTTTTTATACGAAGCTTCGAAAACGGAGGTATTTCCCGCTGTTATATCACGTTACTGAGCGGAAAGCCGATGGTATCGGGGAAATAGACGACCATACATATTATTTGAGAAATCTCTTTATAATAGTTTTCCGATTACATAAACATGAAAATAGAAAAGAAAAACGTAAGCCCACGGTAAGGGGATAATTATGACATGTTACAAATGGAAAAAATTGCCCCATTGTTTGCTCCCTTCGTGGTTTATCTGGACATTATAAATGTGTAAGCTTGCATTTTCATTAAATATATCTTATTTACGTTGTAGTTGTATTATTTGAATAATATGATCATATCCATCTGTCATGACTGAATTGAACTATGCCAAAACATATTGTGTGTTTGTTTGTTATGATACCACACCTCTGCCAATACTGCTTGACAAAGTCAAATTAATTTTTGGTTTATTAAAGATTAAAATTTGAGGACTACCAAAATTGTGTGAGGACTAGTAGTTTTGTGAGAGTCACTAGTCCTCATGCCTAGTAGACTTTTCAAAGAGATTTCTAACCCTATGACTTTCCCTACTTAAGTCAACGTTTATGTGTGGGTTTTATCATCTTTTTGTCACTCGTGTTCATTTTGTGCAAATTGCAGTAGGGTAGCGTAATGTTTAAAGTATTAGCTAGTCTCGCTGAAGACCTGGGTCTGATTCCCCACATGGTTACAATGTCTGAATCCCATTTCTGGTGTGCCCAAATATTGCTGGAATATTGCTATTAGTGCTATAAAACTAAACTCACTCACTCACTAACTCATTTTGTGGAACTTAGCTGTGATCTTTTAGAAAACTTTCAATAGTTGTGGTTTGGTTTGGTTGTTGTTTAATGCCGCACTCAGCAATATTCCAGCTATATGGCAGCGGTCTGTAAATAATCGAGTCTGGACCAGACAATCCAGTGATCAACAGCATGAGCATCTACGCAAGTGGGATGCAATAACATTTGAAAACCAAGTCGGCGAACCTGACCACCCGATCTTTTTAGTCTCCTTTTACAACAAGGGTTGCTGAAGACCAGTTCTAACCCGGACCTTCACGAGTCTTTCGATAGTGACATTTGATAACTGCTACTGATTGCATTATGTCAATCTCATTACAAATGACACATTAAACTATCGCAGTGTAAAACACCAAAGTACATACCGGGGTAATCAGATTACCAGTTTCCAAATGAACCAGAGAAATGATTAAATGAAGGACTACCTTATGAGATTTTCATGCTGCAAATACCATGTTTATAATATCTTGCCCATATCTTGTGGAGGAGAAAGGCTGTTGTGTCATTGCTTCCTTATGCTTGTGAAAGTGTAACCTCTTTGATATATGTGATTCATGTGGTAGCACAAGACATTTTGTAGGAAGAAGAACAACTTCTCTCTCACTATATTTTTCCATGATTACAGATGCGTAAAAAGGCCAACATGAGGAAGGAACAGGAGACCAATTTTGAGGAGAAGCGTATGAACTTGTCCCTTGATGAGGAGCGTGAGGTGAACAAGGAGAACGAGAGGAACAAGTATATGAAGGATCCATACTATGACCAGTGAGAACACATTTTTCAATGAAGGGATGTAGGTTTAATCTCAGTCTGTCCTTCCTTCCGTCTGTTCGTCCTTCCGTCCGAGATGATGACAGATTTTCTCAAAAACCATTATAGATAGGGAAACCAAATGTGGTATGTGTTTTCAGGACATAAATGTCGTGGTGGAGTTAAACAGGAACCAAATAGGAACAGAAAACTGTGGTGGGGGATATTGATGACCATGTCTTCTTCTTGTATTTGTTTTGTCTCTGTGTTTTGATTCTCAAAGTGACAGCAGTTATTTTTGTGAAGTGACAGTAGGTTTTTATCTTCCGCCGCTCGTTTAGCGTGAAGCGTGGGATATAGTATTAGGCTCCGACCGTCCGTCCGTCTGTCCGTCTGTCCATCAGTCAGTCCATACATACCTTTGAATTAGAATATCTTAAGAACCGTTGACTAGATTCTTTTCATATTTGGTACCTAGGTTTATCACAGTATAAGAAAGGTCTAAGTCAGGTTTGGTGACCTTGACCTCATTTCAAGGTCACAAGGGGACTTTAACGTTTTACTCTTGTCAGTGAGATATCTCAAGAACCGCTCACTAGATTTTCTTCATATTCAACACCCGCCGTGATATTGCTGGAATATTGCTAAAAGCGGCGTAAAACCCAATTCACTCACTCACTCACTAGGGAAGGCGCAGGGCCCAGTCGATTATGGTGACTTCACTTAATTTTCAAGGTCATGGCAACACTTTGAAGATTTCAGATGGTCAGCGAGATATCTCAAGAACCATTCACTGGACTTTCTTCATATTTGACACCAAGCTTCATCTAGGGAAAGTGCAAGGCCCAGTCGATTTTGGTGACCTTCACTTAATTTTCAAGGTCACAAACACACATTGAAGATTTCAGCATATTAAATTGCATGTTAACATAGGCAGCAAGATATCGCAAAAAACATTCTCTTGATTTTTTTCATATTTGACACCAAGCTTCATCTAATGAAGGCGCAGGGCCCAGTTAACCTGAATTCACTGGATTTTCTTCATAGACTTTAAAGACTTCCCTTCAATGCTTTTCAATAAGCAATTTCTTTAGTACCATTTTTGTCTATTTTTTACACTATGACATTCATGTCAAGGTCAAAGTCAGTCTTGAAAATATTTGTGTGTTTGAACAACTAAAGAGAAGATATCAAGAGAGGTTGACTGGTTCATGTTTTTGTTGACATTTAACTTCATTTTAAACTTTCATTACTTTTAAAGTTTGATTTGATAATTTGCACAGAGGATTATGTAACCTTAGTGACAATGCTTGTTATCATTGAATGGAAAAACATACACTGATTTCACTGAGATGAAACATGGCCAATGTGGTATCTGTATGAATATTTCCCTTTCCGACAATTTATCACGTCATATTCAATATATTCTTACCCTGCATAACATTGTAATCAGTCTGTAGAGGAATCTTGGTAATATTGTGTAATATGGTAACTTTATTTCAGATATGATGATGAGGAGTACTATGGGAAGTCTCAGGTCCATGGTTGGCAGGCTGGCTCATATGAGAACTTTGAAGTTCGATGGACAAGGGAACAGGAATTCTCTCCATACAGGGTGGGTACTGGAAACATGCTTGTATCTTGTAATTACTTGTATGCTTGTCTGATGGATCTGGAATATTGCTGACTGTGTTTCACATTTTTTCAGATAGTTCTTAAACTATTATTTTCTAAGTGACATGCAAATACTTTGAGAGAGTAGAGAGTAAGGATGTAGCTACACTTCTTTGCATTTTTGGGGGGGGTGAGATGCATCTTTTAAAGTCAGTGAAAATACAAACTTAAATAGGCAAATGGAGTAGAGGCTATTTCTAATCCTCATTTGAAATGGAGTCAGGAAAAATGTCATTGCTATGAAAATGGCTTATTGTCCCCCACCATGTATTCCGTACATCCCGATATACTTGTTAACGTGATATCTCATGAACTGTTGTAGCCAATGTCTCCAAATTTGGACCCATGAAGATCCCGGTTAGAATATTGATCTTCTGTAACCCATGCTTGTCGTAAGAGGCGAGTAACGGGATTGGGTGGTCAGACTCTCTGACTTGGTTGGCACATGTCATCGGTTACCAATTGCGCAGATCGATGCTCATGCTGTTGATCACTGGATTGTCTGGTCCAGACTCGATTATTTACAGACCGCCACCATATAGCTGGAATATTGCTGAGTGCGGCGTAAAACTAAACTCACTCACTCACTTCAAATTTGGTGAGAGCCTACATTGGTGGATTACGCAGAAACCAGTTGATTTGGGTGACCTTGACCTAATCTTCAAGGTCACCACGACACTTTGACTACTTTTTAAAATCTTGTTAACGAGATTTCTCATTAACTGTTGTACCCAATGTCTTCAGATTTGGTGACAGCCTGCGTTGGGGGATTACCCAGACACCAGTCGATTTGGGTGACCTTGACCTTATCTTCAAGGTCACCATGACACTGACCACTTTTCAAACTGTTAACGTGATATCTCATGCACTGTTGTATCAAATATCTTCATATTTGGTGATAGCCTACATTGGGGGATTACGCAGGCACCAGTTGATTTGGGTGATCTTGACCTTATCTTCAAGGTCACCACAACACTTTGACCCCTTTCAAACTTATTTAAACGTGATGTCTCATAAAACATTGCACCCAATGTTTTCAATTATGTTGACAGCCTACATCATTTCAGGCATTTTGTATGTGACCAAAAAATAAAAAATAGTAAATATAGATATTCCATTCTTTAGTGGCAGGGGACATTGCCATATCAGTGGCACACACTTGTTTATGCTTGATTTGTTTATAGAAAGTTGGGGTGACATCACAGATAACTTAATGCCTTAACTCTGTCTCTGACTTACAGCATGAGAAGGAGCGTGAACGCTTTAAGGAACGTCGCTACAGTCCTCCACTTGATAGAATTGAGAGATTGGAACGTCAGATGTAAGTCCTTTATCTGTATGCACGCATATGAAAAAAAAGAAGACCATGAATGTAGATTTGCATATATCTTTATCAAATGTCTGTGTGGGAGTAGTAGTATTAGTTACTGTTCTGATGTGGCGTTGATGGACATCAACTTGTTGTGGCAGGTTTGACACTCCTCCACGTACAAGGGATGAACGGAGAGACAAGTACAGAGACAACAGAATGGAGCCACCCCCTCCAGCCCAGATGCCCCGGGGTCGCGCAGATGAGTGGCATGATCCTTGGCAGAGGTGAGATTGTCCCCTGTTTCACAACACATCGAACAGCTATTTTGTGGGATGGCAGATTGAAATTATGATTGTTAAGAACTAATTCCTTACTTTGGTACCATGTATTAAGCATATTCTCATCCTGCCATGATAGTGCTAAAAAAAATTGCTAATACTGAATTGACCTGTTCACTGACTTGAGAAAGTGTGTTTTTTATTGTTTTGCTTGTTAACTGAAGACATAAACAACCAATGCTATGTAAACAACATACTGGTGTGCATGTCTCAACAGGAAGTATCCTCAGTGTTATGATTGTGTGAGTTTTGTGGTTGGGTTTATGATTACAGTAGATTATTGATTGATCCCTGAGTTCTGATTATCGATCTGCATATCATGAGCGATAACCACACTACTGTTACTGCATGTCAGATTCTGGCCAAATGTAAAGATGTATACCCTTTCTTCGTTGCAGGTCTAAGTCTCCAAAACAGAAACGACGTAGCTCCCGAAGTCATTCACGTGGAAGACGAAGACGGCGATCATACAGTGTATCATCCCATTCATCAAGGTATGTTGTAATGGGTGGAAGCAGAATTCATTTGGGAATTATTGTTTTCATCCTACAAAGGAATAAAGATAATGATAATGAGTCTATATTATTTTGTATTAAGTTATTCACAAGAAAATGATTTCATGTCTTACAAGTGTTAATCCTAACTGAATTGATTCAATGGCCTGGTGTTTACAGCACTAGCCATGTGAATATAGTGCTGTATGGAAAATTTCAGGGCTTTACTTTGCAACATTATATTATTTTTCTCGAATTATCTTTCAGTTCCTATTCTTCATCCAGATCACGATCCTCTTCATTTTCATCTCGTAGTAGTCGGTCATCGTACAGTCGATCATCATCATTTAGTTCGAGGTGAGTGCAGGTGACTTCCATGTCGCAGTGGCGTTACTGATCTAATGTATCACCTTTATTATTGCTAATGTGGAGCTTCCATTTTTTGTGTTTTTACTGTTAAAACAAAGTTAATAGGGGTTCATTTTAAATTAGTACAGTTTTTAATTGACGTAGAGAGCTGTTTAGATTTTGTCTTATTTAGATCTTAATCAATGTGTTTTTATCTTTTTCAATAGCGTATCCCAAACAAATATCCTCGTATTATTGGTTTTCGGATGCTTTAAATATCTCTTGTTTTCTCACATTTTTACTTGAACAACTGTAAAACAAGTTATTAACTTGTATAAGACAACTGCATCTTAAACACAAGTCATCTGAGTATTTACATTGAATGTGTGACGCAACAATCCTCGTTATAGCATGTTATTGTCCTCCAAAATCATATGACATCCGGAAACATGTAAGTCAATGATGTATTTTTAGTGTTTCAGATTTTGTGTGGTGATGTTGAAGTGTAGACTGAGTGTTTCCATATTGTGATAGTACATATGCTCTGTATGACAGATCTCCTTCCCCACGGCCAGTAGGCTCGAGGAAAGCTGGTCCTCCTCCACCAGAGAAGAAACAGCTACCGCCCTCAAAATCTTCGTAAGTTCTCCTCAACAAGCCTGCTATATTAGAGCTCTTCTATTCTGGTGGTCCTTCGAATTTGTCTGTTGAATGGGTTTTTATAAATAACATGGTCCAAACATAGTGAATTTTGAACATTTTGTGCAAAAAGGTTTAAAAGACAATTTATGTGTGGTACATTTTGTTGTAGTACTGGTAGAAAAGGCCCAGCTTCTGATGAGAGAAAAGTGCCTCCACCCTCCAAGAACAGGTATAGCTGATTTCCTTGACTACTGTATCGTTCTCTTGAATCACGCCTGTATCTTCACATGATTCAATGAACATTATCTGTACATGTAGGGATTAGGGGTTAAAAATGGTTCTCGGCCACCTTTGCTGGTTGTAAAGGCGACCAAATGAAGTGGGTGGTCAAACTCCTTGACCAATTGTGTGGATTGTACTCACAGCATTAATCACATGCTTGTCTGGTAATGACTTGATTATTTGCTGGATGCCATCCTATAATTGTTACCATATATCACTGTCTTTAAACTGACTCCCGCCTGTAAAGCTTTTAAAACTTTCAAGACCAATTATTGCTGAGGTCAGTGTAAAGCAGCAACACAAATATATCAGTTTCAGTAGGTCGGATAGCAGTGGAAAATCTGCCAACCTATGCCAGAAACCTATGCCAGAACTGACTATTTAAGGGCACTATGATCTGGCTGCAATATTGATTTCTGACAAGAATCTGCTGTGTGGAGATGATTTTTCCTGTGTGTACCATATATGTATAATCCTCCATTGTTTTGTTCAGTGAGTAGTTTGAGTTAAGGGTGTGCTGTCAGCTTTCCTGACATGAGTAGTAGTACATGTTTTCTGATAATTTCTTTCAACTTTCATAGGGACTTAGTTACCATATTGTAATAGGTTTTGTTGCATTCATATGAAAGTGTTTGACCGGAATGGGAACACCTTTTTTTCAAGTCTGTTTCATTGTATCAAGGATGCAAGGACAGAGTGTAACAGAAGCTGAAATGCATGTAAGATTAGTCACATTGTGTCTGTATCCATAGTTTCACAGTATGTGTATGCTATGTGAGACTTGAATTTTGATATTGTATTGATAGTGACCAACCTCGAAGTGCTGTTACTGTCAAATCCAAACAGAGAAGTCCCGACAAACGGGCGCCAGGACTCCCAGGTCCGCCAGGAAAACCTGGAAGACCAGGCCCCATGATGGAGGACCGAGGGCGGAGGAGAGACAAACCACCTCATTTGCCGGCACAACGGTAGGAGCAGATGCTGTATAAACAGTAACATTGTTATGTGTGACTAACATTGCCCTCATGGTTCGAGTAAACGCTGTGTAAATGTTCATATTCTTATGGGGATGATGGGGTAGCCTAGTGGTTAAAGCGTTCTTGCATCATGCTGAAAACCCGGGTTCAATTCCCCACATGGATACAATGTGTGAAGCCCATTTCTGGTGTCTCCATGTTGTGATATTGCTGGAATATTGCTAAAAGCAGCGTAATACCAAACTCACTCATGTTCTTATGTGAGATTGTTATATTTACATTACCAGATGTTTGTTTATCTGGACAAAATGCAAATGTCTGGATAAGTGAGGTTCATCTGTATATTCAAAATTGATGGGTTGTTTGCTGACCTTTTTGATTGTTTTCTGCATTTTCAATCTGTAGTATTATGTATAATGTTTTCTTATCCTGACTCATGATCTTTTGCTTATCTCCCTTTCCCTTGCGAATGGTAGTGGAACACTTGAATCCCTTGAAGTTCCCAAAGCGGACGTAAAAATACACTTACCCACGAGTTACCTCCCTTTTGCCCTTTCCCGCGCAAACAGTCATGTGACCAGCCTTACTTGTCACTCTCCTTTCGGCCCAAGTCGTGATTGCGGGTAGCCTAGTGGTTAAGCGCGCTGGCTCACGGGCGACCCGGGTTCGATTCCCCACATGGGCACAATGTGTTAAGCCCATTTCTGGTGTCCCCGCCGCGATATTGCTGGAATATTGCTAAAGCCGCGTAAAACTAAACTCAGTCAGTCAGTCAGTCGCCCAAGTCGATGGTTACGAATCCCGCAAGATAATGCATTATATCGCCGCCCACCGCATACAAATCCGTGGGATATCGCCGTCGTCCGCCCGTCTGTTGTCCGCCTGTCCCGTCCGGTCCGCCTGTAATCATTTTGTTTCCGGATCATAACTCAAAGACCGCTCGATATTTTTTAACCAAAATTGGTAGATATGTCAAAAATAACCTAAGGTGGTGCCTTTTGCTATTTACAGATAATTGTCATTTTTATTTTTCTCGGTTTCCATGGAAACGCTTTTGGACTTAGTCTTAAAGAAGGGTGGGCTTCGCTTCCGGAGCATAACTCAAGAACCGCTCAATATTTTTCAACAAAACTTGGTAGATATATCAAACAGATCCTAAAGTGGTGCCTTTTGCATTTCACAGATTTTTGGCATTTTATTTTTCCGGTTTCCATGGAAACGATTTGGACTTAGTCCCAAAAGTGAGGGGTGGGCTTCGCTTCCTCGAGCATAACTCAAGAACCGTTCAATATTTTTCAACAAAACTTGGTAGATGTATGAAACAGAACCTTAAGTGGTGCCTTTTGCTATTTGCCGATTTTTGGCATTTTTATTTTTCTTGGTTTCCATGGAAACATTTTGGACTTAGTCTCAAAAGTAAGGATTGCTTTCGCTTCCGAGCATAACTCAAGAACCGTTATAATATTTTTCAACAAAACTTGATAGATATATCAAACAGATCCTAAAGTTGTGCCTTTTGCTATTTGCAGATTTTGGCATTTTATTTTTCCTGGTTTCCATGGAAACGATTCGGACTTAATCCCAAAAGTGAGGGGTGGGCTTCATTTCCGAGCACAACTCAAAACCTCTCTATATCTTTCAGCAAAACTTGGCAGATATGTGAGGCAGATATTGAAGTGATGCCTTTTGCTATTTGCAGATATTTGTGATTTATTATTTTCTCGGTTTCCATGGAAATGATTCGAACTTAGTCTCAAAAAGGAAGGGATGGGTTTTGTTTCCGGAGCACAACGCGAAAACTTCTTAATATCTTTCAGCAAAACTTGGCAGATATGTGAGGCAGATCCCAAAGTGGTGCCTTTTGCTATTTGCAGATTTTTGTCATTTATTTTTTTCATGATTTCCATGGAAACGATTTGCACTTAGTCTAAAATCAAGCTGGACTTTAAGTAACTGTCAGATGATTTGTTCTTTCAAAGATGTGGGGGCCGGGGGGATATGTCATCTTCTGATGACTCTTGTTATTTAGGTCCTATTCTTCAAAAATATGCTGTGTATGGATTTGGCAAAACTACTATGTATTATATGTAAAAATGTTGTAAAAATTATATGTATTTGTGTCATAATTTCATTGTTATGTAACTTTGTTTACATTTCATGAAATCTTGCAGTGTTTGCAGGCACAGGTTATCCATGGCTGATCCTCACCCCCAATGCCTTTCGTGCATAAAACCATGTTCTTCCAGCTTGCACTGTACTTATTGTGTTGATTTATCAAATCTTCAGTTTAATCAATATTTGTCTTATATCTATAGACGTGCCATGGATCGGGTGAGGAAGTCATCTCAAGTCACGGCTGATAAAACAGATCCATTTTCCACCCATTTTGTTCTGAGCTAGGGGGTTATCAATTTTGAACACGCATTAGGGGGGTCATCAATTTTGTACAGATAAATATGTTTAAAATTATGCTTAGAAATTATTGGTAGGGGAGGGGGTAATTGATTTTGTACATGAAATGCGGGGGGTGTCACTTATTTTGTACATAAATTTTAGGGGGGGTCATTCACATTGTACATGATTCTCCATAAAAATCATCATCACCCCCCCTAGCCATAAATTATGAATGGTTCCTAAATCTACACGGCCTAGTAAGTCAACGCATCAGAAATCCTTCAACAAAGAGATATTACCTCCGTATGAAATAGACGGGTTTTTTTATGATCCTCTGTTACTTCTACCCAAAGTACCTATGAGATCGGCGACTTAATCGACTTCCACGACTACTAGATCGTCTCCTGCAACGGTCACAGCAGGCCAGCTGTTTGACGAACTCTCACCAACTTCTCAACGGAGTGAAGTCGAGGCACACAACTCATCAGTGTTCGCGAACGCTTCTTCTACACCGCAGCAGCTTCAATCAATGCAGAACTTGATCCGGGTGAAATTATGAGACAATTCACCAACCAGATGATGGCCATGATGGAACGTAGGTTAGAGGAAGAAGCGAAGCTTGGCGAAGCCTCTCATCTACTGACATCGTGTGCAAACCTACGGACCTGCGCGAACCTACTGACCTGCGCGAACCTACTCCTCAGAGAACTACGTCTCAAGAGTATGTTGGCGAACGTACACCTTTGCCAGGGTCTCCACAGTCAGTATAGGTTCAGTTTCGGACGACAACCTACTTGATGAAAGGAATCACTTCATCTATATGGATGCTGAGGTCTTATACCGGGTAGCAGATGGCCTGTGGATATTGTCGTTCATTCACTCACTCCAACCCAACAGAGACGTACTGCATATACGCTGATGACTTCGACTCCAATATGATATCACCTATGAAGCCGATATCTCAAGTACTGGAGAACCTCAAGGCGACCTTTGTAAAGGGCTTTAGGTTAACAACGCCTTCAAGTATCCTTGAACGGATGTCAGGTGATATTATTAACACTCGTCACTCAGCGTGGGGATTAGGATTTTATATCCTATCAACTAGATTCATCTTCAGTATTTCTTCAAGATCCATACAGACATACGTCTCGACAGCTTCCTTCGTCATGCTGGCTTATATTATCCACAATGGGAATACGTGATTGATATCACTGAACAAGAATTTACACTTGGAGCAACCCTTATTCAAGAGGTTTATATGAGCGGCGATGTATGCTGATCAACACAGATTGCCTGCGTATATAAGGGGAAGAATGATGTATCATCACTGCAATCAGAGGTTAGCACTTCCAATGGAACGTCCTACCGTTTGGAATATCGTCGACTCTATGATTATTCATATGAATAACCAAGCCTACCAGCTACACGTGTGGACCGTATCAAAACATGTTTGAAGAAAAGAGGATACCAAGAGGGCAGCCAAGGCAGTAACACTAGCGTTACGCAGATCTTCTCATAACCTGTATGATGACAAGTGGCTGAAGTTTGAGACTTATGCAAGATGGAAAGACTTCATTGCGATGAAAGCTACTCATCCTCAAGTGGCGGAATACCTGTGTCATCTTAGACAGACCAGACATCTGAAAGGTTTGACATTATCTACATACCTCGCCGCCATCAGTACAGTGATTACCATGAAAACAGGCATCAAGTTGACGAAAGTACCAGAATTACTTGCTCTGCTGAGATCTTTTAAACTGGAGGACCAGCAAAAGAAGTTCAGAGCTCCGGCCTGGGATCTGAATGTAATTCTACGTGATCTTACCAGTGATGCCTACGAACCTCTAGACCAGACTGCACTCGAGCTGCTGACACAGAAGACTCTATTCCTGCTTGCGCTAGCCATGGCAGTTCGAATATCAGAGATACTTGCGCTGGACTTTGGTCGAACCAGATTTGACACGGGGCAACATGCTGCAGTTCATCTAGGACTTAGATGGGACTTCATTGCCAAGAACCAACTACCTGGTCAGCCAGATAGACAGTTCCACATACCAGTGCTATCTACAATCCTCGGACCAGAGGATATAGAGGACCTATCCTTGTGTCCGGCCAGAGCCCTGAAGATATGTCTTCAAAGACTAAGACAAGGAGACGAAAATTCAAGCGCCTGTCCATCCCATTATCCACAGAGACATCAGCAGAAGTCTCAAGAACGACGATATCGTTCTGGATGAGAGCCGTCATATTGAGAGCCTATAAAGCAGCAGGACTAGAACCTCCAAGAGCTTCCAACCCACACGAAGTCAGAGCATTGGCGTCAACACTAGCTCTGCATGGAAAGTGCTCTATATCAGCAATTATGGAGGGCTGCTTTTGGAAGTCGGACACGGTGTTTGCCAACCACTACTTCCGAGACATAGCCACTGAAGACGTCTCAGGCATTCACCAATTTGGGCCTCTCATTGTAGCACAGCTACCAAACGGCTCCACAAAGCTGAGTTTGAACATCTCACCCCGCGTTGACTTGTTGATCCGCTTTGAAAAGTATTAGTTTGAAAGTCCATGCTTTGGACTAAAAAGAAAGTATTGGTTTGAAGTCCAGGCTAGCATGAGTGATTAAAGATCCTTAAAGATCTTACCTGTACATGAAGAGTCCATAAAGATCTTATCATAATCTATGGGTTGTTATGGATATCTAGTAATAAGATACTGGTTTATCTGAAGCCACATGAATCAAAGATGATCAACTTGTCTGAGATAGAAGTAAGACAAGAAGTGGTTACCTGAGTTATAGCGTAAGCTGGAAGAATAGGATCACGAGAATGCTGCTCGCGCACTCACAGGGCGGTTTATGATAATCCAGGAAGTGGCCTGACCATAATCAATCCGTTGTTATAAAAAATCAGGATAAGGATAATATATGTTAAAGTAAAATTGGACTAGTTTATCTGTGGTTAAGCGTCCTCCCCAGAGAATCAAGATGATTCAACTTGTCTACCAAAATGGAAAATATGACTTGTTGGTCCCTGCTGGCTTCATTAATGGGTACAACAAGGACTGGTCCTCGAGTCAGTATAATGTGTCTAGTGGGGTTTTCATGCTTCACTCGGCATGGTATCTCAGTGAGCTAGCACTGAAAACCAGCTTCAGTCTGGGCTAGTACAAGCAACCACATACTGCAACCTATTCTCAAACCTGGAAACCCAATTTCACCTCACCTCACCTCAAGTAAAATTGAGATTTTTATACTTATCCTGACTCATGAGGTCAAGCCCTCCCAACCTTCCCGCTGGAAACACTTAGGATTTCACAGCAGATCCAAGTGCATGGGCAGAAAAACAGGAGAGAGTGACAAGTAAGGCTGGTCACTTGACTGTTTGTGCGGGAAAGGGCAAAAGGGAGGTAACTCGTGGGTGAGTGTATTTTTACGTCCGCTTCGGGAACTTCAAGGGATTCAAGTGTTCCACTACCATTCACAAGGGAAGAGAGATAAGCAAAAGATCATGAGTCAGGATAAGTATAAAAATATCAATTTTACTTGAAACATTACATATTTCATTGTCCAGGCCCATGCCTCGGGTCGGCAGCAGGAGTTCCAGTGGCAGCAGTTTGTCTCGCTCCCACAGTAGCAGCAGTTCCTCCTTCTCTCGCTCTGGTAGTGGCAGTAGTGGGTCATCAAGGTCCAGGTCTCGTAGTTCCTCCACCAGCTCCAGTGGCAGTGCTGATTCTGAGCACTTGTACCGAGATCTGCCAGGCAGCAACAGGCCTGTCTCACCAAAGAAGAAGGTGATGACCAAAGGTGAGTGTATTCTGATTGAATCTAGAGAAACCCAGTGGTGCTATGGCCTGTAAAATGATCTAAAGTTCTTCATGTCAAGTCTTTGGCGTAAGTTTAGGTCACTCTACCATTCACTGACTGTCAACCATTGTATAGAGAAGATTTTAGCATTATAGTTTATAGACATTGAAAATCTCACCATAGTTCTTTTGGTATCAGATATATCAACATATGTCAAGGGTCTGGTTCTGCTTATCATCCAGTATCTCTTTCCCAACATTTTCAGTTCGTAAACAGTAATAACCAGTGTCTTTAGTGCAAAGGATACAGCAGAAATACTTCAGTGGCAGAAAGATTAGTGATGTTGTAGAGTTGTAACATCGTGGTACTTTATTGAAGCGATATTGTTGAGAAGGCCTGATCTCATCTCATCCCCTTCAACCTGTGAAGGTCCGGGTTACAATATTGATCTTCAGTAAACCATGCTTGTCGTAAGAGGCGACTAAGGGGATCGGGTGGTCAAGCTCGCTGACTTGGTTGACACATGTCATCGGTACCCAATTGCGCAGATCGATGCTCATGCTGTTGCTCACTGGATTGTCTGGTCCAGGCTCGATTATTTACAGACCGCCGCCATATACTGCTGGAGTGCGGCGTAAAGCTCACACTCATCTCCTTGTGGAAGCCTTTTTGGGGGGGATGTACAGTAACACCAATGTTTGATACAAGACTTGTTTTAGAAAGATATTTGCCTTAAATGTAAACCAAGATCACTCATTCTGAAGTAAACACAGAAAGAAACATTTGCTCTTATTAGGATTATGAGTAAATTTAATATTCTAAACTAGGATGATTATTAAAATCTTCAATATGAACAGAAGTCCTCATCATTCTCATTCACCCATGGCAATGACTAAAATTTCTGAATTGCTCCTGATCTGGGGGATATATCATCTTTTGATGACTCTTGTCTATTATCAGTGTCTGAAATCAACAAATCAACACAATAAAATGTATAGTATTGATCGAGATTGGCCATCGTAAAGAGATGGTACTATAGTGCAAGATTGGCCATCGTGGGAAGAGATGCTTACTATAGTGCTGAGATTGGCCATCATGCAAAGAGATGTTACTATAGTGTGAGATTGGCCATCGTAAAGAGATGGTACTATATAGCGCCATAGATTGGCCATCTTAAAGAGATGTTACTATAGTTGCCAAGAGATTGGCCATCGTAAAGAGATCTTACTATAGTGCGAGAGATTGGCCATCGTAAAGAGATGTTACTATAGTGCAGATTGGCCATCGTAAAGAGATGTACTATTATAAAGCAAGATTGGCCATCATAAAGAGATGTAACTATAGCCCAAGATTGGCCATCGTAATGAGATGTTACTATATTGCGAGATTGGCCATCGTAAAGTGATGTTACTATAGTGCGAGATTGGCCATCGTAAAGAGATCTTACTATAGTGCGAGATTGGCCATCGTAAAGAGATGGTACTATAGTGCTGAAATTGGCCATCGTAAAGAGATCTTACTATAGTGCGAAATTGGCCATCGTAAAGAGATGGTACTATAGTGCGAAATTGGCCATCGTAAAGAGATCTTACTATAGTGCGAGATTGGCCATCGTAAAGAGATGTTACTATAGTGCGAAATTGGCCATCGTAAGAGATGTTACTATAGTGCAGATTGGCCATCATAAAAGAGATGTTACTATAGTGCTAAGATTGGCCATCGTAAAGAGATGTTACTATAGTGCTAAGATTGGCCATCGTAAAGAGATGTTACTATATTGCAAGATTGGCCATCGTAAAGAGATGTTACTATAGTGCGAGATTGGCCATCGTAAAGAGATCTTACTATAGTGCGTGAGATTGGCCATCGTAAAGAGATGGTACTATAGTGAAATTGGCCATCGTAAAGAGATGTTACTATAGTGCTGAAATTGGCCATCTTAAAGAGATGTTACTATAGTGCGAGATTGGCCATCGTAAAGAGATGTTACTATAGTGCTGAAATTGGCCATCGTAAAGAGATGTTACTATAGTGCGAGATTGGCCATCGTAAAGAGATGTTACTATAGTGTGCAAGATTGGCCATCGTAAAGAGATGTTACTATAGCTTAGATTGGCCATCGTAAAGAGAGATACTTACTTAGATGTTACTATAGATTGGCCATCGTAAAGAGATGTTACTATAGTGCTATGAGATTGGCCATCGTAAAGAGATGTTACTATAGTGCTAAGATTGGCCATCGTAAAGAGATGTTACTATAGTGCTAAATTGGCCATCGTAAAGCCATGGGACTATATAGTGGCCATCTATAGTGCTAAATTGGCCATCGTAAAGAGATGTTACTATAGTGCGAAATTGGCCATCGTAAAGAGATGTTACTATAGTGCGAGATTGGCCATCGTAAAGAGATGTTACTATAGTGCGAGATTGGCCATCATAAAGAGATGTTATTACAGCGCAAGATTGGCCATCATAAAGAGATGTAACTATAGCGCCAAGATTGGCCATCGTAATGAGATGTTACTATATTGCAAGATTGGCCATCGTAAAGAGATGTTACTATAGTGCAAGATTGGCCATCGTAAAGTGAGATGTTACTATAGTGCGAGATTGGCCATCGTAAAGAGATGTTACTATAGTGCGAGATTGGCCATCGTAAAGAGATGGTACTATAGTGTGAAATTGGCCATCGTAAAGAGATCTTACTATAGTGCGAAATTGGCCATCTTAAAGAGATGGTACTATAGTGCGAGATTGGCCATCGTAAAGAGATCTTACTATAGTGCGAAATTGGCCATCTTAAAGAGATGTTACTATAGTGCGAGATTGGCCATCGTAAAGAGATGTTACTATAGTGCGAGATTGGCCATCATAAAGAGATGTTATTACAGCGCAAGATTGGCCATCATAAAGAGATGTAACTATAGCCCAAGATTGGCCATCGTAATGAGATGTTACTATAGTGCAAGATTGGCTATCGTAAAGTGATGTTACTATAGTGCGAGATTGGCCATCGTAAAGAGATCTTACTATAGTGCGAGATTGGCCATCGTAAAGAGATGGTACTATAGTGTGAAATTGGCCATCGTAAAGAGATCTTACTATAGTGCGAAATTGGCCATCTTAAAGAGATGGTACTATTGTGCGAGATTGGCCATCGTAAAGAGATCTTACTATAGTGCGAAATTGGCCATCTTAAAGAGATGTTACTATAGTGCGAGATTGGCCATCGTAAAGAGATGTTACTATAGTGCGAGATTGGCCATCATAAAGAGATGTTATTACAGCGCAAGATTGGCCATCATAAAGAGATGTAACTATAGCGCAAGATTGGCCATCGTAATGAGATGTTACTATCTTCATGCGAGATTGGCCATCGTGAAAGTAAAGATGTTACTATAGTGCGAGATTGGCCATCGTAAAGAGACTTACTATAGTGCGAGATTGGCCATCGTGAAAGAGATGGTATTATAGCCATCGTTGGCCATTGTAAAGAGATGGTACTATAGTGCTGAGATTGGCCATCTTAAAGAGATGGTACTATAGGGCGAAATTGGCCATCGTAAAGGGATGTTACTATAGTGCAAAAATTGGCCATTGTAAAGAGATCTTACTATAGTGCGAGATTGGCCGTCGTAAAGAGATGTTACTATAGTGCAAGATTGGCCATCATAAAGAGATCTTACTATAGTGTGAAATTGGCCATCGTAAAGAGATACCATTTTGTGAGATTGGCCATCTTAAAGAGATGTTACTATGGTGCTAAACTAGCCATCGTAAAGAGATGTTATTATAGTGCTAGATTGGCCACCGTAAGGAGATGTTACTATATTGTGAGATTCGCCATCGTAAAGAGATGTTATTATAGTGCTAAATTGGCCATCGTAAAGAGATGTTACTTTATTGTGAGATTGGCCATCGTAAAGAGATGTTATTATAGTGCTAGATTGGCCGTCTTAAAGAGATATTATGGTACCATAGTGCTAAACTGGCCATCGTAAAGAGATGTTACTATAGTGTGAGATTAGCCATCGTAAAGAGATGTTATTATAGTGCTAAATTTGCCATCGTAAAGAGATGTTACTATAGTGCTAGATTGGCCATCTTAAAGAGATGGTACTATAGTGCGAGATTGGCCATCGTAAAGAGATCTTACTATAGTGCTTAGATTGGCCATCGTAATTGGCCATCGAGATGTTACTATATATAGTGTAAAGATTGGCCATCGTAAAGAGATGTTACTATAGTGCGAGATTGGCCATCGTAAAGAAATGGTACTATAGTGCGAGATTGGCCATCTTAAAGAGATGTTACCATAGTGCGAAATTGGCCATCGTAAAGAGATCTTACTCTAGTGCGAGATTGGCCATCGAAAGAGATGTTACTATATTGTGAGATTGGCCATCGTAAAGAGATGTTATTATAGTGCTAAATTGGCCATCGTAAAGAGATGTTACTATATTGTGAGATTGGCCATCGTAAAGAGATGTTACTATAGTGTGAAATTGGCCATCGTAAAGAGATGTTATTATAGTGCTAGATTGGCCATCTTAAAGAGATGTTACGGTACCATAGTCCTAAACTGGCCATCGTAAAGAGATGTTACTATAGTGTGAAATTGGCCATCGTAAAGAGATCTTACTATAGCGCAAGATTGGCCATCTTAAAGAGATGGTTCTATTGTGCGAGATTGGCCATCGTAAAGAGATCTTACTATAGTGCGAAATTGGCCATCTTAAAGAGATGGTACTATTGTGCGAGATTGGCCATCGTAAAGAGATCTTACTATAGTGCGAAATTGGCCATCTTAAAGAGATGTTACTATAGTGCGAGATTGGCCATCGTAAAGAGATCTTACTATAGTGCGAGATTGGCCATCGTAAAGAGATCTTACTATAGTGCGAGATTGGCCATCGTAAAGAGATGTTGATGATGCCAGGTTTGCCATTCACAGATGTCAGACATTGGGAATGAGGCAATTCATATTCACCATTTATAAAATAAACGAAAATTCAAAAGAATTATGTCTGAATATTTGATACACCAAAACTAAAACAAAACAATAAAGCCAAGGAAAAATCCCCCACTCTGCACATTTACCGAAAGTGTGAATGATAAGTAAGCTTCTTAGCTTCCATTATCGGGAAGACATTTATAATAGAACTATCTAATTTGTAATTATTAACTCCTGGCTGGAGTTATATGGACGTCTTTGTCCCTCAGCGACATTTCTAACAATTGACAATGTTGAGCTGTTGAATGCTGTTGTCAGCTAGTAGCCAAGAAATGAACTAGTTTTTTACAACCATGTGCATAATGTATAGTGACGGGTGTATTAGGGTGTGCTGACCCAATCTAAAAACAAAACATCGGTTTCCTTCTGTTCAGACATTGTTATCGTCATGTACAAAAAGAGCATAGATCTGCATAACAATCCCTTTACAACATGGCAAATGAACAGGTGTTTTTTTTCCAACTGTTGCTTCAGCCTGCAGACAAGCCACCTGGTGGTCCAGGTCCTGGTCCTTCAGCTGCCAAGAGAAGACAGTCGGATTCTACCGGAGGGCCACCCTCTAAACGACAGGCCATCATAGCACCTCCTGCCAAGCCTGCAGCTGGTTTGTGTGCTTTTGGTGTTAGCTATATCAGTGGACAAGTCTCACTGTATCATGCATTCATAACATTTATTGAAGATAAGCTATTCTTAACAGAGGTGTTAAATCTAATATTATATTACTTTCTGCATGAAAATACCACATTTTGTAACAGGATCTTACTCTGTATTGTGTGTTGATAAAATTAACTTGAATTTTAGGTGAGAAGCAAAAGGTGCCATCAAGACCTGAGAAGATGAAATCACCCCCCAAAGACAAGCCAGTCTCTCCTACCAAGGCACCATCTAAGCCTCCAGTGGCAGCAGCCAAGGCTGCACCTAGTGGGAAAGCTGCACCTGCTCCAGGTGTGCCCCCACCTGTACCAACTCCCTCAGTCCCAGCAGTCAAACAGAAGAAGAGCATGTCCTCACGACGAGAAGAACTTCTTAAGCAACTTAAGGCAGTGGAAGATGCTATAGCACGAAAGAAAGCAAAAATGCAGTGATGATAGCTTTCTGTATAATAGGTGTACATACTATATTTTTATTTCTATTGTATGAAGGGAGAAAGATACACTGTTCTTACATCTGCTTAATGGTTTAAGTTGATCATTTCTTAGGACTCATGATTTTCTGTTAGTTCAAGTATAATTTAACATGAATGCAGTGTGATATAGGTACTGTCAGTTTCTCACGTAGAATGCATCGATTCTTATGTAAATAGACACAAGACCATTTGTGGTATGCACGTTGGAAGGAATTGTCTGATTGAATTCATTGCAATATCTGAAGCAACTTTTATCTTGACAGGTGAATGTATGAATTTGTTTTTCTAGGACTTGTACGGTTTATATTATTCTGTGGTACTTTCCATTATATACCAGTTGTGGTATGTCTATCATCGTGTATTAGTATAACTTAAGAGTTAACAACATATGATGTAGTTCCAACTGCAGTGTTAAAACTGGTTGCTCAGTATGAATAAATGTAGCATCTTGCCAAATGAAGCTACATTAATTCAGTACATTGTTTTCTCACTTTATCTGAAATTCAGTTTAATGTTACTTAGAGAATCACATCTGAATCCTTTTGGTATCAAAATATCAACTGGAGTCAATAGATGTTTAAAACCAGAATATTTTACCCACTGTGATTTGACATACTATGTATTTATTTGGGTTATATTTTGTTATCCACAATCTTCCAACTTTTTCAGTTTGCGAAGAGAAATAAGCCATGTCTTGGGTACAGAAAATACTGCTAACCAGCTTCAGTTACAGAAAAATGATTACATCACAATTGTCTTGTCTTCGATTGTGATATCTCCTGTTATAGATGTTTGTGGAGAAAGTTAAACAATTTGTTTTGCCCAAGCTTGACATATTTATTAAAGAGCAGTCTTCATGATGCAAATTATGGTGTCAGATTTCATTTTTGAAAACAAAATTGGCTATACAAATGATAAGGTCCTCTACAGGAAAATAAAACCTGGACATCCCGGGGTGTACATTCAATTGAGAAAAAAAATTAAAATGTTTGGGCCATTTTTCATTTTTTTGGGGTGCAAAATGTTTGCATTTGAAAGGTTAGAAATCTAGTGGAAATAATGTTCATACCTAGTTTCTGTGGTCTATGATACAAGAGACAAACATATTTTTTTATAAAATGTGTGGGCATTTTGAATTTAATAAGAAGTAGTTGCTACAGCCGTTGGGCAGTATTTCTAAATCCATTTACAGTCATCAAGAACTGTTCTTATGCCATTTTCATGTGGATATTTATTTTAAAGATCTGCTACTTCAAAGGATTGTTTTTCTTAACTTCTGTTGCCCTTGGGATGGGTGGGGGGAAAAAGGTTGCTTTCATTCTTGCAAGTCTGTAGGTATCCATATCACAATAGTCAATGTAAACGAGTAAGGCAAGGTGATTTGAGATGGGTCAGCTATTTGCATATACTTTGCAATGCCAGGTCCTCAACACGAGTGCCAGTGGCAATATGAAATAAAATCATGACAAGACGCTTGTGTTTGTGGTTATGACGCAGCTATGTGAAACATCTAGTCCTTGTACAAGGAGAGAATCGGAAGAACTTAATCTTGCAGCGTTCCTTGTGACAAGACAAAAAACAACCCGACTATTACATATTCTTTCGCAAGTCATTCATTTTATTTCATATGTATTAATCCATCTGACTGCAAAAATAGCTACTCTTATCATCACTCCACTCAGCTGAACAGCTGTGTGCACCAAGTTGTCCGAAGTTTATGTCAAGAGCTTCCAGCAATTCTGCAGTCACATGATCCTCAGTCAACCAATGGGCATCATCCAGCCACTTGCAACCGAGAGAACAAAGACAAGGAACAGACTGTTGTATTTGGTGCCGTGTCTGTCAAGCACACATCATAGCATGTGGCTAGGGGGACACAAGTTCAAGGTCAGATGTGACATCATACACAAAGAGTCGTGTGAGGAGTCGCACTCAAGCCACAGAATGCTAGCCCAGGCGGTTTTCTGTCGATAGAAAACTGAGTGAAAAGACAGTTGACTGTAACTTGCTGGGGATAGGCAGGGCAGACAATCAAAAACAGTCACATGCCATTTTTGCAACAATAACTTCAAGTGAATCCACAAAACTTGCTCACTTAATTATTTTACAACATGATAGGAACAAAATATGATACAGGTTTCGATCAAATAAATGCAAGAAAATACAAACCTCAGCACACAATGTATATGATGTACATGATAAAAGTCACAAGAAAACCCCACATGGGCAGGATCTGCTACAACAAATTTAATTAAAATAGTATAATTTTTTAATGCCTACAAAGAATGACGGTTAAAAATATATTTATTCAATGTTGAGACTGAACGCTGTCCAATCCATTTGGCAAAGCGTTGGCTAGTAGTTTTGGGAGGCACTATTCCAACGAAAGCTGTACACACACCGACAGATATTAGGACACATGAAACCAACTTTGACTATTTTGCTTTCCAAAAGTAACATACAATCTTTCTCCAACCAAAATGCATTCACCTTTATTGAGTATTTCACAGCAAATAAGTAAATGCTCGAAGTGTGAAAATTGAACTTCTCTTATGCCTTCAAAGAAACTATTTTTCTAGGAATATATTATTCCTTATCTGGTTAAAGGAAATATACTACTCAAATAAAATTAAGTTTATCATGTGACTATAGTTGTGTTCACGCCATATTAACTATAGGCATATGAACAAATTGTGTGTACTCTATTTTTAGTATATTAACTCACTATTGGGGTTTCATATACTTATATACAAAAATCACAGTTTTGGTATACTGATCTTTGATTGAATCGTCACAACCCTGGTGCCCCTTTTGAGAATACTGTGAGTATATTAAAACCAATAATCTGTAAAGATGTCTCTATACTGAATATCCCCAGAATTGTTTAGTTCAGCTGTGAAAATTAATGATGCAAGGCATTGGGTAGTTTGGGATTTCCTAAATGCTATGGGCAAAACATTGCCAGGTAAACAAAACTGCCATAGTAATTTTGTATTTCTTTCAAATCCCCATTGAAAGATATGGTTACTTAGAATAACTGCCATTACTAACTTGTTAACACAAAACAGAAACTAAATGTTGACTTTTATATTTCTAATGGTTATTAAGCATTGGACAGGAATAGGATGAGCCACAGATGAATGAGAATGTTAAGAGACTTTCAAATGTCAAATGCGACAGTTTTACAATGTGAGATCCTTTTTTGATTCACAACATAAGGTAGTGTAGCATTTATATATGTCATGTACGGTTTGGACAGTAAGGTGACTTTGAGACATTAGACAACCCCAGCGATGTTATGAAGATAACAAAATGCCAAACACACCTCATACAAACTGATTTCCAGACACAGGTTACGATTTGGAAGAACCATTTCTTATCACAAAACTAAACCTATGAAAATTAGTGAAACAAAACATTCTAGCATTTAAAAATATAATTGACTATAAATTACAAAACAATCATAGGATTTCTCTGCAAATACATGGTCGGTATCTTATACATACTTGGGCCCTTTTAACCAAGTTCCAATATTGCTGATAATCACAGAACCAAAGGGTTTAAATGTATTCAGAACTTAAAGCATTGAGAATTTAGACTTCGACAAATACAGACCCTGTGGGTCTATTGCTCAAATTTTGTTTAAGATTCAAGTAAGCTCATACATAAATAAATGAATGAATAAAAGCATACAATTTCAGTTAGCACAAACAATAGCTCAACACTAACACTGATTACCTTGTGACATACATCATTTATTCATTAGTCTAATGTTAACGACCAAACAGCAAATCATTCAATACGAGCATTTACATTTAGCTTACCTTGTGACATACTTCATATTTATTCTTGTCTTATGTATTACACTGTGAAACAAGCCATTCTCAACAAAGCCAATCACAGATACCCTACATGATATGCACGATAAACAATATCTGAACTAGTATACATAAAGGCATTTGAAAAGATCACCAAAGAGCCTATCTTGAACAGGAGGCACATCAACAGGATGCAGAATTACTATAAACTGTCCTCAACCTGAATGTAATTTAGTGGCGTCAAGCTTTCATTGTTGTGTCAAACTGGTTTCATGTGAAATAAGTTAATACGTTATTCTCAAACAAATTTTATTGTAACACATAAAACCCCTTTCATGTCATGAACTTTGACAGTTAAATCTACATTCTGTTTGAAAGTGTACAAACTGAATATGATCAATGGATGCCAGACAATGTCTTTGGCCTGGTGAGCTAAACATGAATTCCTGACTGATTCAGTAGACACACCACCTTTGATTCCAATCATCCCTTTCCCTGAAAACTTGATACTATACAGCTGTGAAAGAGAGATTACATTATGGTACAGTGAAAATGTAAATATCTGCCAAGTCATGTAATATCAATGACTGACTTAGACGGAAGAATATGAGGTAAGGCCATCATGACAGAAGCAATGAGAGATCTGGTTCCAATGGTCTGTGCTATTTCAAACCACAGTGACATACTTTTACAATCAATTACAAAAGCAAGGATAATATATAAATCTGTTTTTAATGTGTACATTACATATAAACTTACAATGTCTTAGGAATGACAGCCTGTAAATTATTTACTCATGAACACTCATACTCTATGTGGACACAAATATTCACTTGTAGAAGCTTCTCTTTATAAGACTAACTTAAGGTTGAAAAGCAAGTGGAAGAAACACAAATATGTACCGGTAATAAAGTATGTAATAACTTATCAGAATGACCAAGGTGACCAACAAAATTACGTTGTAGGTACAAGTCCAACAACTATTCACTGTGCATACAACTGACATGGGATTCATTTAGGTTTTTAATACCCTGCTTTGATATACTGACAAGTCACTTGATGAAGACTTGTCATATCCATATCTTACACAAGTGGGACGACAGCCATCACAGCTGCCAACCTTAAATAATGACTTAGACCAGGTATATGTATTAGTACAGATCATTCAGTTACACCCTTGTTACGTGCTACACTTGCCAGCAGGATACAAGTTGACAGTTATCAGCACTACATTGCCAGGAATGCAGCATCAATTTGCAACATAAAGTATTAGTTATGTCAAATGGCTGTTGCATAACCATCAACTGTGGAGCAGAAGTTGTACATGCTGATCCATGAGACTCAACACTGCTGCATGGCTAGCAGGCAGGCAGGCAGGCAGGCAGGCAGACAGGCTTGCAGCAGATGGAAGCACCAGCAACTGTAGGCATGTAGTGGTGTGCTGAAATAACACAAAAAGCCTGGCAGGCAGGCAAACAGGCACACCCTAATACTTCAACTGCTTTACCAATCTGCCGAGGACACATCTCATGCGATCATGCAAATTAATACAATGAGAGCTGAGGGGATACCAACATAAATCAATTGCCCAAATTTTCTGTAATATGAATTAACAATAGTCCAATGAATGGCATGATTCTTCATTGTCTGGGAGAAAATATGGTGGTGGCCTCACATTTGTTATCATATAGACTCACAAATAAGTTAAGTACAATTTGAGTCCACTGGGAACGCAGAACCACTAACCAACAAATACATTACAGTCTATGAGACGATCAGGGAGGACAAAAGATGATGAGGTTTGCTTAACAGTGCATGCAGCACTACTGAAATAACTGAGATGACACGGTGACAGTCTTTTTTTAATTCACTAAACCATCTTCCATCCATCCTATGAATGAAGCCCCAGTGCAAGTCACAAATTGAGTCAGTCAGTTTCGTATTCATCTGCAAGCTCTTGTAGGCCCACAGGCTTGCTCCCTCCCTCCCTCCTACCAATTCAATACAGGTGGCAGCAAGTGGGTGGGCAGGTAGAGCCCCACCCCCATAGGAAAGTCTGATGTCCCTCTTCATGTACTAGAGGGGTGGGGATAGTCAGGCGGGCGGGCAGGCAGGCAGGTGCTGCAGAAGTCTAGGTCTGCGCTGTGGCAGCAGTGTTAGGGAGGGGCGACATACTGGGAGTCATGACCGGTGAGCTGGACACACCCACAGCACCGCTGTTGACTGCTGGACCTGCAGACAGACAGACAGACAGACATGCCAGTCAGCCAGTACCAGACGGCACCAAGCAGTACTGACATGAGAACAGGACTCACTTGCCTGCTACCCACACCAACATAGCTGCAGAGATGTTGCCATAATACACAGGAATACTGCCAATTCTTATAGGCAGGGCTTTTAAAAAAAAATCTTCAGTTGAGGAGAGGGCAGTTTCCGAAAAGGGAGAATCACAAAATAAGAGCCATGCAAACCAATTATCTCCTTCAATACACATACTCCTTTCCACAACTGCAACCACCTCGTTATGTGTATTCAGATGAGATTTGTCAATGTGCATAGCATTCATTATCTTAGGGGCTGGACAAAATTGATGGAATAGTTAACTGTAATCAAGGAGGATCTTTTGTTAGTGTGCGGAATTTCATTCTATTAAGTATATGACAGTGAAAATTCAGCCATTCTCCATTGCAAATATTCTGTCCACACATCTAACAAAATAAAATATACAGAATTAAGCAGGGCCAAGCATTTCATAGATATAAAACAACTGTTCCATCTCTGCAGCTTTGTTGGACATAGTTTTAAGTATAACAAATGAATATCATGTCTTCAATACATATATTCTTTACACATAAAAATAGTTTGTCATTACAAAAATATATGACTTGATTTCATATTTACAGTTCTCACTGTAATATTGACATGATTTCAAATGAGATAATTGAAACTATTTCAAGTGGGGGAATGAAGCAAAAAATAGCAAAGTCCTGTGTCAATTACTCATAGCTCAACTTAGCAACATGTATAAACAGAGAAAGCAGAAGTTAGTATGCAGGACTGACAACTCAAGCTAGACATTTTTAATCTTAAAATATGATTTAAAGATACTAAAATTCAGGTCGAAAGAAAATGAAGAAGAAATATTCTAATATCAAAGCATGTACACAGTAAATATTCTGTTGAAAACTTTCTCCTGCCTCTGCTTTCTCAAAATCACATGACAAACATGCATGTTAACATGAGTGCATCATAATTCATTGAAATATGCAAGCTACTGCAATTCTATTCCTACTGATGAGTTTCAAATTGTGTGTATGTGAAGGTAGCATGAAAATGGATGTATGCTCGATAGTCTGCTCAAGGCTTGGACAGACAGAACTAAAGACAGCCAATAGTGAAAGGACAGTACAAACACTTAGCAAGGTTGACAAGCCATCAGAGCAAGCATCACTGGAGCAACTTATATCACCTTCCCAACCTCCTGCTGTGTCCATTAATTCATTTACAAGCAATTTACAAGCATGTCACACACACGCACACACAACTGCCTGATCTGACGAAGCAACAAACCTGTCATCCTGGAGAAGCCACTCGTTGACACACATTGTTACATCATTGACTATTCTAAGTGTTAATGATATCTGTACATGTAGACACGACTAGCATCAAGGGACCTTGTGGTGGACCAACTGTAATCTCACTCTTACGGCATTTAAAGTACCGTAAGCAATGTACAAATATTGACTCCAATCATGACAACTCCATACATTATATGACATCTTCAAAATGAATGCCATCAGTTGAAGCACTTCATCAAAACACAAGATATTTCATTCTGGTGGAGCACAATGTGTATTAAGTAGCTCTAACAGACTTTGCATCGTAACTGTTGAATGACTACGGATCACAGATAATTACTCCTGCTATGTGTTGTAGTACAAAAAAGCGTTGTGGCATGATACTTGAGTACATCCAGTTGCAGAACTGTGGATACATCATAATTTCACAGACAGCTGATATAACTATCATCAAAGTTGTAAACTTCATAGTTACATAACCATCACAACAATGGAATCGATGCAGCCTTCAACATACATGCCAGTATATACACTAATGCTGTACACCATCTCAGCTCTGATAAGGACACAACATCCATCAACTTAACATAGCACTTTTTGACTGGGTTGGAATACAATGGCAATCTTTCCATGCTTCATATGGCAAAAAAGAGTAATGTTGGGCAATTATTTCCAAACTTCATTCAATATTATTTAGTAAACTAAACTGAAAAATGTATATAAAATGAAACATTGTCTTTCAAAAACGGTCTTCAGATCTGCCACACAAGTTTCATTTATATGTGTCTGATCATATCTGCAAACATTTTTCTGAAGGTAAATTTCTCCTTTCCCAACACATCATTCTGGTAAGTGATGTGACTAGATGCACATTTTTGAAAACATGGTCAAAGAGCCAGAGACATGTTGAAGAAAGCCAGACTGTCAAGCCTTGAGCACCATGTTACGAGACAATGATTGTAGAAGGGTGAACTGCTCAAGTGCATGAATATGTTGTGTTCAAGAGCGGGGAACACAGTCTACCTCCGATCGTTGCCGCATTTGACACTGGTGTGGGAGAAGTGTGGCCTGACATGGAGGACATTCTACCCTGTTCCTTTACTATAGGATCTGAAACACATATATACCAACAGAGTGAGTCACTGTTATCAATACATAATGGCCCTACGACCTAGTTCAAAAATATGTTGCTGGGTATCTATTCTGATTTTAATCTTAAACTCCTAAATTTACAATTGCATTGTTAACTTAAACAAGCCCCATATAAAAGACTAGGATGAATCACCACTATAACAGCTGCCAAACAGCACTGACTTCTGATATCATTAACAATGTCTGTTCATGTTGGAGTGTATTATCATGATTATGATAGTTTGCTATATCTAAGACCTGCTACTGCGCTGGATGAGAATTAGGGATGAAACTTACAAAAGTATGGATGATCCATGGCTTCTCTAGCTGTAAGCCTCTCTTGATGGTCGTAGCGCAACAACTTGTCTAGGAAGTCCAAAGCTTCAGGACTAACTAAATGTTGGTTTTCACTGTGGACAAACCTCTCCCATCGTTTCCTTGAATGCCTGCAAATGGAATGAACACTATTTTTTTTGCAAGATAAATACAGAAATACACCAACACAGGCCTCAAGGACATTTCATAGAAGAGGGAAAGATGTCCTATATGCATGCAAATTTATATTTATGTAGGTTCAGTGAGATTTTGAAAGAGCTTTACACATAATATTTCATTTTTTTTCTTCTATAATCACAAAACAGTAATTTTGCAACAAGCATCATGAAACTAAAAAATCAATTAAGTCAAGAGGAGCACTGAATACACTCAGTAGGGAAGGAATACTTAAGGCCAACATACAGTCAAGTCTTGTTAATCCGACATCGTCCGTTGCACAGCAAATGTCGGATTAAAGAGAATGTCGGATTAACAAGAATGTCGGATTATCAAATTCTGAGTACAGATCACGTTCATGGTCAAAAACAGGACTATCATGATTCATATTAAGTGTGTGTGTAATTGGTGGTGGGAATCGACCTCTTAAGCCATAATCGATTATTGACTTTAGATCACACGTTGTACAGCTAAACAATACGTACGTCAAGATATTTGTGTGTGTGAAAACTGAGAAAGTAGAACTCCAGATCTACGTGTCGACTTCGATGCAGAAATCAGAGTATCGATCAATCTATCTATTTCCAACATTGTTCGTGAATTCGATGAGTACTGAGTCTTTCGCAAATACAAAATGTTTTCATGAAGCGAACACGAGCGGGGAAGCAGGCATTTTGTTGAGTCTTGTCAGCCATTCAAACTGATTGTTTCGATCACATGTTAATAAATATTCTTGAGAAGTATTCATTGTTTTCAAAACCAATTCATATTTTCATTAAACATTTACGAAATCTTCATCAATGCTTGCATTTAAACATGGGTCTAAACAATAAAATGACCAAACGTCTGCTTCCTCGGGAAGCTATCAAAAGACTTGACTTCCAGTTTTACGGCAGTTATACGATGTTCATCAGATGGCAGAATTTGTGTTCATAATCCTCATTGCTCCTCGTGTATCATAACATCTTCAGTGACACGTGGCAGTGTATTCACGGGTAATTGATCACATGCGTTGCTAATCTCAATGTCGGATTAACAGGACTAATTACTAAGTGATTACGACAGTCGGTTGTAATTTGGGCTGTCGGAGTCAGAACGCGGGACTGTCGGATTAACGAGATTCCATTTGTTACCAACAAAAGTGTCGGATAAAGCCGATTGTCGGATTAACGAGACTTGACTGTATTCAGGTTACTGTCTGGCATGAGCTATCACACCATGTAGTGGTATGACAAAGCACATGTTAAACAACTTACCTTCCCAGAATATCGTTAAACCTTGGGTCTAATTCTACCTGGTACTTTTCAATATATGCATACAAGTCATCTGTTCCTAAAACCTTTGCAATTCTCACCAACTGCAAATAAACAAACAAAATCATAGGTCAAGTACAGAAGCATTAGTGGAAATTAAGTGCAGGGTATTTTCATAATGTATGATTTGTCTGCATACCAGATACCTATTTGTAAAGAGTTATTAATGACATCTTAAAACACTAACTGAACAAAGAAGCATTAAACAGGAAGTCATAAATATCATGGATATTTAAACAACTAAAATTGCTACATGAATTGTTGTGAACATACTGAATTAGAAACTAATTTTTTTTTATCCACTCACCATGACAACCAGGCACCAAACTGGCCTTTATTATTATTTAATTTCTCAAATGATCAAATATATTCCACCTACAAGGTAAAAGAGATGTCTTGAAATTCAAACTTACATTTCAAAATGGATATAAATTTTTCCACAGCATGTTGTATCATTGTGGAAAAGACAGTGTTCTTGCCTCCTAAGCTAATGGTAACATGAAAACGCTCACCTGATCATAATTGTCATGACCATGAAAGAAAGGTTCTTTTCTGAAGATCATACTGGCAAACATACACCCTAGGCTCCACATGTCTAGAGAGTAGTCATACATCTAAAAAACAAACAAACATAATGTGTTGTGACTTCATATGTGGGGTGAACAAAATGATTACTGGCACCACTGCACACAACTATCATTTTTCACCACAGATTGAACACTGCCACTATAATGGACACAAAATGTGTAAATCCCCTTGTCTGACGGCTGAACTTTAACTAAATCAATTTCCGTTTTCATCTTGTCAACCAGTAAGTCTGCATAACTTGGCAAGGTACTGCCTATCCTCAGTGTTGCTTAAACTACAGTAAGCAACATACCCAGCCCCAAGTTAAGTCAGCTTATACAAGCTTTGTGTTACACTATTTCCAGTCTTTGTTTTTGAGGAAATTACACCAGCAACTGTAACTATAACATACATTCTGACTGGATTTCTGACCTGTTTCAAATCCCTGATGTGTGTATTAGAAAAGCATCAGTACATACCTGATAATCTAACAACAATTCTGGACCTTTGAAATATCGAGAGGCTACTCGTACATTGTACTCCATTCCTGGGTGGTAGAACTCAGCTAGGCCCCAATCTATAAGGCGTAGCTGAAATAGCAAGAGGGTATGTCAGCACAAAAATAACTCACTGTCAAATAATCATCTTGCAAAAGTACAGCTACATCAATCAAAACCGGATCAAATTAGTAAGATCAAACATATATCTAGTACAGTTAGCATTAACTCAAAATCAATTAGCTGGAAGTCAAAAGGATAGGAGAAAGCAAACTTCTATGGTAATGGTGTTGGCTCTTACCTTTCTGTTTTCATGATCTATCATGACATTGTGAGGTTTCACATCTCGATGCATGATCCCCATACTGTGGCAGTAATCAAGGGCCTGAAGCAAAACAAATAATCAATTATTATTTTACACTGGAAGGCAAGAGCATAACAATAGCTACATTTCCATCAAAACATGATCAAACAAATGGTTTATCCTCATAAACAAGGGCACATTTTGCATGTTATTGCTTTCCTGCTGGGTCACAATACACACTTCATATCACTAAAGATACTTCACAACAAATATCAAGGAATTCACAACGCTGATTGGAAGATTTCCAACATTACCGGTACCTCTATCACCTGCCAAAATTTACAACGATGTAAAAATATTAACTTACCTTTAACAATTCATATAAATAGAACCTTATATCATAGTCTGTGAACGTCTGGTACAATTGCTGAAAAGTAAAAGAAAATCCTTACTTAGTGCCAACACAAATTCAATAACACCTTCAAATAGTCATAAACAAGTGTATGGTTGTGACTAAACCAAAAGTATCCTATCAGGCAATGGCATATGCGACCAAATTGTTGGGGATTTTGGGGGTACAAAATCCACCAATCAATAGTTACTGATGAAAGTAACTTTCTTATCTTATAACGTTTCAACACAAGCCTGGTGCTTCGTGAATTTCATGCAAGTTTTCAAATTTGCCCATTTGAAAAGAATATGAGAAGACATTACCTTGAAATCTGTGTTGTTCACATGTTCAAATATAAGAGCTGGTGTTCTGGACTGCAATGAAACAACAAAAAGGGTAAGCATGACAATACTCAGAATGTCCATGACTTGAATTGAAATGAAATGGGGTCTACATAATCAACAAGTAGCCAAACTTATATATAGGTTTATGTTTAAATATGGAGTGAGTGAGTTTAGTTTTACGCCGCTTTTAGCAATATTCCAGCAATATCACGACGGGGGACACCAGAATGGGCTTTACACATTGTACCCATGTGGGGAATCGAACCCGGTCTTCGGCTTTACACATTGTACCTACCCCACTGCCCTGTTTAAATATGGAAATATATGCAACCACTGATTTAATTCGGGACACTGTGTCTGGCGACTTAAACTTTTACCAGTCATGAATGAAATTTGCCGGTCATATCCTATTACCATACTGTAAGTATCATTTTAAAGTGCCTGGGTGTCAGCACACAATTTCACTCTAGTGTTTTTCTGTCGGGCTAGCAAATTTGTATATCACACTGTACCGGTGTCCAGTTGACTTTCTAATGTTAATTATGTTGTTTACTTAAAGAATCAACAAGAAAACGTCCGGTATAGTGGACAAATGATCAGGGCAAGTTATTTTACACGTGCCAATGTACCGGAGTACACTAGCAATTTTAAAGTTATTTCCACCCCTGCGATTTTCAGGTATATACCGGAGAACGGAAACACTGAACATAATACAATATGTCCAAGAGGTTCAATACTTTAACTATTAGTAGCAGTCTCCTGATTACCACATTCAGAATAACACAATTTAACCACAAACTTAGATCTAAAAGTGAAAGTTATTGTACATGCAGATGGTATCCATTGCAGTAATGTGATTGGCTGCCTTAGGTCACATGCTTGATTTAGACCAATCATGATCCTTATAAAAGATTGAGGGGAAAAAAAGAAAAGAAAAGAAAAGCAATCTTTATCCAATAAAATCGCTTGCTACAACTGTGAAAATACTCCTGGCAAGGTTGGGATGATATTATTGATGTTCAGAGCTTTTGACCAATACCCAACTTCAAACAAATCTTCTCGAGTGTCATTTATACAAAGCTTTGAAAGCAGAGGTATTTCCGGGTGTTGCCTCATGTTAGGGAACAGAAAGCCACTGTTATCGGGAAACAGGCGACCATACATTTTATTAAAAAACTTTAGTAATAAGTTTTTGATTACATAAACATAAAAACATAAAAGAAATAGGTATATTCAAAGGGGTTTCTGCTTCCTCAATGGTTTATCTATCTGGAACTTATGAATGTGTAAGCTTGCAATTTCATTAAAAATAAACTTAGTTTAAGTTGTGGTTGTATTATTTGATTAATGTGATAAAAATATAAGTTATATTATTAGGATTAGACCTTTCAAATTGTGTAAGACATGTAGTAACAATGTTTTACAAGCTGATATTTTCATTGATAAATGTAGGCTACATCTATTATCTCAGAGTCTCTGGGAATTCAGTGTCATGAAAGTAAGAGCTTCTGGTTGACTGGTGAAGCCCCAACTGTTTCAAATTACTTAACCTGTAAGTCCACAAACATTTCTTAGTGTTTGGGACTCCAAAGCAGTAAAACAATAATGATGCACATTATCAATTTGTTTTATACTAAAAACTCACCACAGGGTCTTTGACAATAGCTAGGAGAGTGATAATATTTGTTCCTCCTCTCAAGTTCTCTAAAATCTTAATTTCTCTTTTGATTTTCTTTTTCTTCACAGGCTGAAATTATAAAAGAAATTTGTATTGAATGATACTTGCATGAATAAGTACAACATGGTAATTGTATGTCATGTCACTCTGAAATATGAGGAACATAAAATACTTCTTTGTTTGATCCACAAAACACATTTTTTCTAATGAAAACATTAAACATAGCAAAACATGAAGTCAGTATTAAAATATCAGTCAAGAGAAGCATGCAACCGTCATTTGGTAGCCTTAGAATTGAAGGACCCCTGTGAAAAATTAATTACATTGCTTGATTGTTGTGTAATGCTGCATTCAGCAATTTTCCAGCTATGTGACAGAGGTCTATAAATAATCAGGTGAGTGAGTGAGTGAGTGAGTTTAGTTTTATGCCGCACTCAGCAATATTCCAGCTATATGGCGGTGGTCTGTAAATAATCGAGTCTGGACCAGCCAATCCAGTGATCAACAGTATGAGCATCGATCTGCGCAAATGGGAACTGATGACATGTGTCAACCAAGTCAGTGATCCTGACCACCCGATCCAGTTAGTCGCCTCTGAAGACAAGCATGGGTTACTGAAGATCAATATTCTAACCTGGACCTTCATGGGTTATAAATGATCAGGTCTGGACCAGACAATGATATGATTGACATCATAAGCATCAATCTATACAATTGGGATAGACGGCATGTGTCTACCAAGTCTGAGAGCCTGACCACCCCTATCCTGTTGGTTGTCCCTTACTGAATTGGGTTGCTGAACATCAATCTCAACCTGGATCTTCACAGGTCATAACAATAACAACAGTTGATACAACATTCAACTAAAAGATCAAAAACTCTTTACAGCAGCATCAAAGTGGGTTACACTGGTTCAACTGTTGTCTACAGACATCCAAATGAAATCTAAGTTATTACTTACTTTGAGAATTTTTATCACACACTTCTCATTGTTTGTGATGTTGATAGCTTCAAACACCTCACTGTACTTCCCTCGTCCCAGTTTACGTACAATTTGGTAGTCATCTTGATTACTGTTAAAAAAGATTAAACATATCAAAACTGGTCTCTCATAATTGAAAACTGACACAAATAATTTCTGATCACAACTCTACTGGAACTCAAAATTCCTCCAGAAAGATAAAGTAAAAAGATTAAATCATTTACTTCTCTTTTATATTTCTTTAGGAACCAGTTCATATAGTGATAGATTGATGATGGTTGAGGAATTGATGTCTTTCACAATGTAGATTTACCTCAAGTACCATTTCAATATTAGGTTTTTTTGGTCAAGAATGATACTGTTTTCATATATTGTAGGCGAGATTTCAATCCAAAATCACTCATACTCATTGCAAAGTAATGGAAATTGAAAATGACAATTCTTTTGAATCACTGCCTGCCTATCCTTGAGAACATAAGGAGAGTGGCTGTAAAAATCTTCAACCTTGTCTTCAAAGTAACTTATCAACTCTACTTACCTTCAATTGAATTGAATATTTTCTATAAAATAAGTCCTTGGTGGTGACAATTTGAGACATCTGATTACTACATGCGGTTCATTTTCCAATATCATCAATATTTCATGAAACAAACAACAGTTACTAGTATTTTAAAAAGAGGAGATTAATTACATACAATTACAATTGTACCTATCAGTTTTTAAAGTACACATACGACTTATCCAGAACATACTGAAGAGAAAGTGAGGCTGCCAACTGACCAGCCAAATTGTTGAATAATAAGTTCACATCTGACTGGCCAAAATTATGTGCATCATTCATTTCATGGGGTTGTTTGCTCAGGATTCATCAGATGTGGCATCTTTAACTCTTAAACTCCTGGTTAAGAGGGTTTGATATATCAACATTCATCACAGTAATGACACAATTGGCAATTTCCATGGTACACTAAGCCAAAACTTGTAGTCAAAACACATAAGAATTATGCGAACGCATTCTAAAATTACACTGTAAAGAATTTAATACAGTAGAAGCTGTCAAAACCGGCAAGTTGTCAACACCGGCATAAAATTTCAGTCCTGTCCGTGGCTAGTACATTTATCATCATTTAAAAGCTCTACAATCCGGCAGCTGTCAATTCCAGATCTCGGCACAAAATGAGCCGCCCGAATATGTGTTTACACAGTAATCGGCGCTGTCTAATCCGTCTATTTCTTCAGTCCCGGTGAGTGCCGGTTTAGGCAGCTTCCACTGTATATGAAATTTCAGTTTTACAAAACTCAGAGGTACAGGGGAGATGGCTACGTTGACACTTGCGTATAACACTGGATCGAATTTCTACATGAACTTATTATAAACACCATAGCTGGGATCATGCTTGTGAAGTTTCAAATTCAGAAAAAATTGTTTTAAACATAAAAAGTTCATGATGAATGGAACAGGGAACAGGTAACAGAGAAGATAACAAAACAAACTGTCCTTCTGGATAAAAATACTGAAGAGCAAACCATCCAAGATCCAATGACACATTAAATTCAGTGATCCAGTGTCAATTGCACCAACCTAATGGACAGATCACATCACCACATTGGTTTGTTTTTTTACGGAAACCTTGAGTCAACCTTGCTTGTTACAGAAACATACATCATAAATGAAAAGTACTAGTCGCAATGGTGTATTGTTTTTGTTATATATCAAACTGATATATTCATAACATGTAACTCATAATATACCAAGTGCTATCTTTTTCATTATTTTAAACATGGATAGTAACGTCACTCATAAAACTATTACTTCTGGTGTCATAATAGTTAGAAACATTTTATCGTCTGATCATTGATTCCTTTAGGCATTAAATTAGATATTTTTTCACAATAAATCATTGAAAGACATGGTAAAACACAGAGAAACTGTTGTAGTTGTTTGCTATTTATAAATAGAGGATATTATATGACTGACTGAGTTTGGTTTTACGCTGTTTTTAGCAATATTCCAGCAATATCACGGCGGGGGACAACAGAAATGGGCTTCACTCATTGTACCCATGTGGGGATTCAAACCCGGGTCTTCAGCGTGACGAGCCAACGCTTTAACCACTAGACTACCCCACCGCCCCGGATATTATATGAGTGCCAATGTCATACTATGTTTACGACACAAGTGCCTAAATGTTGGTATTTCCCGAGCGAGAGCGAGGGATATGCTGATATTTAGGCACGAGTGTCGTAAACATAGTATGATATGGGCACGAATATAATATTCTGTTTATTACCGAAGTCGTCAAATTGAGGAAAATAAATCCAAATCTACTTTCAAACATAGGCTGGCTACCCACTGTGCCACATGTAGAACGCAACGTCACTGAAGAAACGTGACGTCATAGCCTTGTTCATGACGTCACGTCACCATGACAAAGTGATGTTTGCCCTAGGGCATCATATGAAAAATATGAACCCCGATATGTTCGCCCTCATAGGTATAAAGATTTTTATTGTTATGTGACAATCAAAATTTCTGCATCTAAGATTTTTTCTGCATACAAAAGAATAAAAGTACAAGAGAAATCTTAAATCATGATGTCTAGTAATGTTTCATTGCAAAATTTGCAATGTTTTTGATTTACTGTAAGTTTACCTGAAGCCATATGAAATATTAGCATGATTAGTTTGATGAAAGTACATTTAAGTTTCCATCACAATCTGTCATTGACAAGGACTAAGAAGGTATTTTTTGTGTAATGACAAATCAATTATTAAACATGGAGAGGGATTTTTTCCCCCCACAACACACCTGCACATATATATAGTCAAATACTGACTTAAGATGCATGTCCATTAGGGCTGCAATGAATCCACTATGAGGTGAATACGATACATATCAGGAATACAGGGTAATGAACCAAAAATTAGTTTTATACGAATACTATAACAAGTCGGCAATCGATATGTTGCTCACAATATTCATTGTAACAGTAACAAAAGTATTTTTTTTACATGTATTGACCAAGTTGACAGTGTTTATTTATCATTACAATGACCAGTGATCACATTAGTCAAATTTGATATTATCCTGCCTATCTTGGATATACTACTGTATATTACTGTAGATAAGCCAAGCTCATAGATAAGTCGATCCCCTAACTTGACCCTTAAAATCAGTGTCAAAATGGTATGTTTCATACCTACCACGATGGGGTCCTAATCGCGGCCAACTCAGATCACAAGACAACTGGCAGTTACCGGTAATCTTGGATGTAAAACGTAAGTATGTTTGGTGAGAATAGTATCTAATAAAGATTTTACTGGCCCCTCCTAACGTGGGAATCTTGTGTTTGTTTTATTTTGAATATCATAATGGTCACTGTTGGTATCAACAACAAGACATAAATTTTACTCGCAATGTTAAAACAGAATGTTTACATTAATTGCAGTGAAATTATGTATTCCCCACCCCACCCACCCAAATAATTAATAACTTTGTCCCGCATTATTCACAGCAATCACTAGCATATTGCGTCTACTCATGTCTCGAAATGAAGTGTAGTTGACAGAAAATGGATACGCGTACATATTTTGTTTTGCCAAAGGTCATATTTAGTGAACCTGGACGATCACATGTCAAGAAACTGTTTTCAAGGTGGAAATAGCAAGATCGCTTGAAACCACATCAGTGACATGTCAAATTGTTCCATGCATAAAAACTATCCAGCAATACACCAGAAAGTTGTCACATAACCTTAGTTATGATTATAAATATTTCACATTTATAGAGCAAAACCTGCAATTAAAATGTCACAGTACTAGCATATATTTCTTGTTATTTAATAATAATTTCAGATACTATATTCTTAAGATCACTGCATCAGAATTCATCTCGTTATAACATTGGTACGTTTTAACTAAATCACTGGTAGCGGAATGTGCACACTGCACAGCTGATTGCTATTTCCGGCGTTTTATACGAGACAATTTCCTATCCTGTTCCTATCCTGTTCCTTTGTGCAGGTGAATCAGAACCCTGAATCATTTGTTTTAAAATTCCAGATAGCAAAGATGGGATATTGAAGGGGAGAAATATAAACTTAAGGGCACTGTGCAGATTCTGTTATCTATAGCCAAACAGGAAATACTAAAGAACCGACAAGCTAGTTCATAAACAGTTTGTTATTAATCACTTGTTATCAGACCAATATACATATACTGTAATGAATTGTATGTATTTCTAACTTCTATATAGATGTAAACAAACCTTTGCACCTAGTACTTTCTGCTTGTGGGAAGGAACACATTTCTTACTATTGCATTGTTAAACCCTATGTCTACTCACCAGCAAGCCGTAATTACCTGATTTCACATGTTAGTTATCAAATATTTAAAAATCAAAGTTTATTCTTATTACATGTTTGGTAAAACTATAAGAAAAAGTGGTCAGTTTTGGTGATTTTAAATAGATGGAGTCAGTCTCTGCTGTACTGAGAAATACTGCTGCCTGCCAGTAAATTACATGTGATTTTGCATTTAGAGATCATGTGCTGTATTGCAATATTTGCAAAAATGTTTAATGCATTGCTATACATATGACAATATATTACAAACAATTTTATCATCTGTCATTAGGTTATGAACCTGAATAAAACCAAACTTCCTTTGGACAATATTGACAAATTCCGATTTTGTTGGATGTTTATGTATTAATACTACACTACATATCAGAAACTGGTCGCTGTTTAGTCTTTTTATCACAGCAGCTAATTTCAAAAATTTATTCCTTGTAATGGACATATGTTATGAATACTTTTAAAACAATGAAGATGTACATAATTTGGCAAAAATGAAATATACCAGTATTTTTCAAACAGATTCATGTAATGCATTCATTTTTTTAGTATTTTATAACATTGGTATACTTTGCTATGACTCAGTATTACACAGAAGGTTTCGGCATGGTGACAGCCTGAGGAAAATTAGAAAAACTGAGAAAGATGGAAAGTTTCAATGGCACTCTAAGACTACATGTGGTGGCAGCATAACCATAAAATATGGTGATAACTGTCTGGCAGCCAGTACCTCTGTTGCAAAAAGGACAAATGTGCAAATGATTTTTTATGAAAAGGTAGGTATTATGTATTGTTAGCAAATATGGGTGTTTACTGAAATCATAATGTAAACATGCATTTACTTTGGTGCCACAGATTCTGTTAACATGGAGGTACATCCTTGGTTACTCTTGTTTTGATATTGCAGAGTACCAGATATTAGGAATGAACCTGGTGTTTATTTGGAAGTTGTCTTTACCCATTTCAAGAAAACATTTACATATTTTATAGGATTATCTGACAAGTTGGAACCCATGTCCATCACATATTCTGTCATTGACAAAACATCTTCTGGCACAGAAATACTTCATAAATATATGTCCATGCACGTAGTGTTATAACTGAGTGATATCAGGTTACTTGAACCAGATTAAACTTACCCCCATTCTACAACATGAGATTCATAATCCCAATATTCTCTTGGTTTGTGAGTGTTGATATCTGCATACACTCTGGCTCGGCTCGGGAGCGGCATTCTCTCACACCTATGAATGCCGCGTCTGTAGCCACAACGTGTTCCCCCAGCTCCAGTAACGAGAGCTTTCCAAACGCTCGGGAACCGGCGAAGGATAGCTTACTGCTAATCAAGATTTCCTGAAATGTGTAACAAAGCTTAGGTTCACAGAGAAGTCGATTATTCAACGACGGTCACATATCCACTTCAACAATACAGGAATACCGCGAAACAATGAACCGACAAATTTATGACAGCACCGCGTAAAATGCTTTCTCACAAGTCCGTATAGGCACATGCAGTCTTACCTTTGCCGACTGCACTGTTTCATATAACACATAGAGGAAAGCGGTAGACCTTCTTGAGAACGTCACATTTGTTTTAAGTTATTTTCTCCCAGTTCAGAAAACCAGAAACGATGATTTAGGCCAGTAAAAGCAAATTTGTTTGATACATTTCTCAGGAATTTCGGCACAATATGGCGGCCGTCTTTCTACCGCTGACCGAAAGAGAGGCTCTTGTTTTCACAGTTTCCGGTTATTTCGTGCGATTATCTCCCCTGAGAATAATAGGGGAATCAATCGTGTTAAATTTATTAAGCGCCAGGCCGATGCCAGCAAAATACGTGTAATATTCCCGCGAACGAACAAACATGAGCAGTAATTTCAGGATAAAATTCGAGAAATAAATTTGTAAATTCCCAACGGAAGTGTCTCTACATAATCACCGTTTTAATATTATTTACTATTAGCTGTATATATATGTGAAAAGGAATGCACAATCTTAGAAGATATAATACAACTGTATGATGAAAACACAACCAGAGCGCATTTTCGAGTAACGTGAGGTCCTATACTAAAATTCCTGGATCCGCCTATGTGACGTCAGTGAGGTAAACAACACGAGTGTGCACCAGGCGCTACATGGATACGGCGCGATGTGAATATACCTTCTTATTACTTGTAAATATCTGGAATAACTTTGCCATATAGGTTAGGGACAACTGATACACTAAGATAGTCTGTATTTCACCAACTTATTGCACATCTTTATGACAAGTCCGAAAATATTATCGTATATACCTTAACACTGTGAAGGAAAGTATACTATATGTATGCATGTGCTTCTGTGCTGTATACCGTATGTTGACATCCATGTATATGGGTTGTAATACGTAAAGTATACTGGTATATGTTGTTAATGTGGTCTGCACTGTATGTTCAGGTGTTTAATTGCTTGTTTAGCGCCGCGCTCAGCAATATTCCAAGCATCTGACAACGATCTGTTAATAATCTAATCTGGCACGGACAATCCAGTGATTGGCACCACGAGCATCGATCTACGCAATTAGGAAGCGACAACATTTAAACGAAGCTGGCCACCCAATCTACGTAGCCCTTTACGACATGCATGGGTTGCTGAAGATGAATTATATATTAGGTTGAACAAAATAAGTTAGGAATCATGAATGTAGATATGTTTATGAAAAGACGTGCCTGCAGTCTTCGCCACAAAAATATAACCGCAAATATTCATTTAATATAATCCCAAATATTATGCGCATGTCTGCATATGGTTTTATTTATACATACATACATACATACATACATGCACGCGTGCGACTATTCCATTCACAACGTGTTATGAATTTCGTGCGAAAACGCCAATATCGAGAAGGCGTTTTTCATGATGTGCACGTGAAAATGGTCGGGGTAAAATCGAAATTTAATACGAAACGTGAAAGTGTGTAGCTCTACATCTCAGTGAGAAAACCAAGCTAGAAGTTGTTCTGCTATTGTTTTAAACTCAGTTAAACGTTTTTTGACACGCGGCGTCGTGCAGTTGGCATGATAAAAGTTGGAACATGGCATTGTGACACGAGCCCTTAACGTTTCAGTCAGTAACAAGCAGGGCCTAGATTTTCGAAGCTCTCTTAATTAAGACAGGTCGTAAGAAGTTATGTCAACAGTTAAGATAATCTTAGCGCTACCATAAGAGAGATTTTCGAAACGCTCGTAAGTCCGTCGTAAGGTCAAGCTAGATACGACAGCTGTCGTAAACCGCATCCAGGGAATCCCCGATGACGTCACGGAATTCCCCTATGTAAACAGCAGACGTCAACAGGGACACCAAATGAACCGATACGCTGGATTGCACAATGCCGTGCATATCCGCCAGCTCAGACTGGAAACTGCCTTTGGCAAGAAAGCGGAGGGTAACCATCACCAAACCAAACCAGCCTCAACAAGAGATAGGGGCGGTGGGGTAGCCTAATGGTTAAAGCGTTGGCTTGTCACGCCGAAGACCCGGGTACAATGTGTGAAGCCCATTTCTGGTGTCCCCCGCCGTGATGTTGCTGGAACATTGCTAAAAGCGGCGTAAAACCAAACTCAGTCAGTCAGTCAACAAGAGATACTAAGTTAAAGATAGCATGACGAGGCATTCTATAACGAGAGATCAGTTCGTCGTCCAACGTGTCTAACTGACGCGAACGGTCGCGGAAAATCCGGGTTTTTCTGTAAACTTCATTAAGATTATCTTCACAATCAAACCCAGTTACCAGGCGCGTAGCAAGCCAATTTGTTCGTGTACGCCCGATAGGTTGCAAAGCTTTATATTTAGATAGTATTGAGGGCCTGCCCAACATTTTTGGCAACAATCATGTGTAAGCCAGGGCTTTTTTTAGAATGGTAGCTACGCCCCTGGTTACATGATATCGACAGACAAATAACGTTGATGCGATCTGGTTGACCAAGGGCGACAACAGGCGCACAAGACTGGCGTATCGGAATGACTGAGTTAGAGAACCATGCTCACAGTGCCTATCAAATTGGAGATGAGCTTCACAGATATACAAGTGTTAAGAGTTAGTGGTCAGACAATTCGTAACAGGCTACACGGATGGAATGAGACTTCCCAACGTCTACCTGTTTCCTCACGACTGAAGGAGCGTGTCATAACCGCGAGACGTCGTTGGTGTCACAAGCGGCCGCCTTGGACTTATCGTCGTTGGGCGAACGTTACGTATTCAGAAGAATCAAGGTTTACTTTGGACTTTTAAGACAGGTGTGGCGTATACTGAATGAGCGTTTTCATGCGTAAAGGTTAGACAGAACGGTGGTTTTCAGGATGGCTCAGTGAGTCAGTGAGTTTAGTTTAACGCCGCACTCAGCAATATTCCAGCTATATGGCGGCGGTCTGTAAATAATCAAGTCTGGACCAGACAATCCAGTGATCAACAGCATGATCATCGATCTGCGCAATTGGGATCCGATGACATGTGTCAACCAAGTCAGCGAGCCTGACCACCCGATCCCGTGAGTCGCCTCTTACTATACATGCATGGGTTACTGAAGATCAATTCTAACCCGGATCTTCACGGGTCCAGGGTGTCTCAGTAATGGTGTGGGGTGGGAGTTTGTGGACTGGCAGAAGACCTGATATTCACGGCGCTCTGACAAAATCTATGTTCATCTGACGTTCAACGATTAATGCAAAACCCAGTCAGATGTTATATTGTTAAACTGTTAAAATATTTATGCCATTAAAGATACAAAACACCAATAGTTATGAAACCTTTTTCGTTTTTTAATAACTCTACTTAAAAAAATCGTATACTATAGGAGCACTTGTGTATGTGTGTGCGTTGGTTATACATGTTTACACACATGTGGTTTATACTATGAATGTAGGTTATACTAGTCACGTGCATCTGTGTATGTGGTTTATGCTATATACATGTATACTCGATAACAACAAATCAATATGCATGTATATTTCCTTTCAAATTTGGCATAAGATTTCACACAGGTGTACAAACATTATACGGAATAATATTGAGCTCTATATGTTCAGTCTGAAAAGTCTAACGTACACATTGCAAAGAAATACCTTTCCCTTTCTTTGTTTCTTGCCATGTAAGCAGCATGTTGAATTTGGTAAAGTTTAACCGAGAGCGGACAAAACGCGGTGAGCTTTGAGGCAAATGGGTTTCCAGAATTCTATTGGCAATGGCAGATTTTGTTAATCTGATGTTCGAAAATTACTTTCTGTTTTGGATCTTCAGTATTGGATTAAACCATCCTTGAAAGGATTACATTGGCAGTAACGATCGCACAGAGGCAGAATAGGACAGTAAATGTAATGTGACATACTTCCTTCAGAGATAATACATTGTTTCTTGATGTTTGTAATAAATTTCGTACAGGCGTTCGGTATCAATGTGACTTACTCCACACACCAGAACGTGACAGACGATTATGTATTGTTTCACCCATGGTTGCAGGTAAAACGAATGGGTAGTTAACATAACTGACCTGCTAAACATGGCATAAGTATGATAGTCAGTATACAAGAAGTCTCTTCATTTCGTAAAGTTGAAGAACCTTGTCTGGACCATTGCTCGTCAGGCGGATCCAACCAACCAGACTGTTTCCAGCTGGGCGGAATTCAATATAGAAGTCCGCAAGAATGTTAGTATAGTTCAAGATAGTGTTGTATATCGATCCGCCTGACCAGCAATGGTCCAGACAAGGTTCTTCAACTTTGCGAAATGAAGAGACTTCATGGTGAAGTGAACTTTAGAAGCCTTGTTCTGCGACTGCATTCCACACAATCTGCGCCCTACTGTCTATCATTGGAAAGCGCTCTGTTGAGAAATCTGTTTAGAAACTGAGGTGGTGGCTGAAGGATCTGTTAGTGGTGTACTTGAAGGTCGTCCCAACAATGGAGCTGTTCGAGTTCACAAGCTTATGTATGAGGGGTGCTTGAGGCTATTTTGGGGCGGATTCACCAAATGGGTTCAGGCTGAACACAGTGAGGAATGTGAATCACTGGGTGCTCTCACAAGTATTACTGCAGGCTTAAAGGAAGATAACTCTCTCTCTCTCTCTCTCTCTCTCCCTCTCTGACAGTGGTGGCTTTTCTGTGCAACTTGGGCAACAAAACCAATTTGGGAAGATACCAATGGATCAGACAATTTGAGAAACGGTCAGCAAAGACACTCAGGCACATGGAGGCACCAACGGTTCCAGTACCCGTGCAGGGGTAGTTGCAAGATATTGCATTAGTGTAGACTATAGAAGTGCCTGCAATCGACAGCTGCGAGAAATGGTAGATACTAGCAGGTATATATACACATCCAGATATGACAAGCAGCATGATTCGTCGAGACGAGGCTGATGTTACATCACTCCTGGACTTGTTCCAAAGCAACTGGATCAATCCATTCACTACAGATTGGCAAGACGTGTTGCTTATCTACAGGTCTGCCTACCGAATCCAGTATAGGCGTTATATGACAGCATTCCGAAGCTTAAGTTAAAGACATTCTCAAATCTCGTGAGGACCACTCTGGTAAAAGCTAAAGACAAAACTTTGATCTTGACAGCTGATAGGAACCACTTTGGCCAAATGGTAGTCATAGCTGAGGGTCGCAAGCTGTTAATGAGATATGTACTGTAACATCAATTAGGGCCTCTCCCGTGGTCCCTGGCAATACCTGATGGGTCACTTCA